AAAATGAGCTAATGTTAGCTAACCGGAGTGGGCAGCTATCTTACCTGCTTTAGCAAGCTCTTGTTGTGAAAGTCCCATTTTGCTGCCCTGAACATTGGAATTACTGCCTACACTTGAGTTACCGACGTAATTCGCCACAGACTGGACCCTGGCTGTTGCGTTGACGCGACTTGGTCCCGATAGCTCAGACTCCAGAGATCCGACTATATCACTAACTACTTTTTCGTCCACCTCTGTGTTGAAGAAAACATCATCCAGCAAATCGGAGCCCGCCGCCATCTTTGCCCAGCTACGCTCGCTCGTGAGACGCATGCGCCGATTGGATGTACCCGCAGTGACGCGGCCTCACCGGGCGCTGTGATTGGCTCCTCCAGGAAAATAAAGGTTGGAACAAATGGTTGTGAGTTGCAGTGTGTAGAGTGTCAGCGCTGTCTGGCTGTTCCACGGGAAAACAACGATACCACTCACAGAGCCGCTCCTGGTGGGACTTTATCACATCGTGGAGACTCTCTGAGAGAGTGTACAAATTGTGCAACACATCTTTGCAGATTTATGCACAGTAGCGAAGCATTTTGTGTCCATTTGACTTTATCGTAGACGACTCAAAATGGCTGCGTTGTTGCTATTTTTTTTTTTTTCTCTCTCCAGGAGACCCGCAGCAGCTGCTTCAGCGCTCACAGACAGAGAGCAGTCTGGGTGTCAAACTCGAGAGCGGAGATCAACAATTACCAGTTTTCATAGTGGTTTTGCTGCACTATCCTCAGGCTTCATGACAGTGCAGACTTGCACTGTCTGTGGCAACTTGTTGTACACTTCAGAGAAATGTTATCAAAATAAATTTCAGAACAAAATACCACACAGTCCAAATAAATGTTTCAAACATAAGACGATTATGTCGATTATATTAAATATCAGACATTATGAGTCATATGTGGGAAGTTCAGCACAGGGACTGACCGGACTGATAGTAAATTAGAGGTTGTCTCGTTGCCAGGTGCGTTCAGCCTCAATCAGAGGGCGTGGTTTCAAGTCACCTGAGGAAGCTTATAAATTGTTTCTGGTCGCTTCATGGCTTGAATGCAGATGTCCTGAATTTTCTGTAGCCATGAGTTCAGCAAAGCCTTACATTGGCTGTAAAATAGGGTTAATTTCAAAAGCTCAAAATCGTTATGAGGGGATTTTGTATACGATTGATAAAGTGAACTCCACAGTAGTGCTGGCAAAAGGTGAGTGGTGTGGGCCTATGCTTGACAGCCTGTCAGCATGTTCAAAAGTAAGACTTAAATAGCAGCACAATGTCATTTTGTTAGCTTTATCAAAGATTTTCTCTAAACCAGTCAAGTGTTTTGGAACCGAGGGACGACCCACTGACAGACCAACGCCACCCAAAGATGATATCTATGAGTACATCACTTTCCGGGGAAGTGATATTAAGGATATCACACTGTGTGAAGCTCCAAGATCTCACCACAGCCTACCCCCGGATCCTGCAATAGTACAGGTATACAAGACATGCGTGGCGCACACCCCACAGTAGAGAATCTAAAAGTGGACATCCCAGTTAATGTGTGTTAACTTGTTTAACTTTTTTATTTTTTATTTTTTATTTAGTCATCAAGTGCAGGCTCAGGTGTCTATTCAGCTCGTGGACCATTTAGCCCCCTAAGGATGCCTGCCTACAACCAGCTTGCTGCCAGCTCTCTGCTTAATCAACAGTATGCTGCAGCTTTTGGTCTTGGTAAGCAAAAAAATGCAAATGTATTTTAAGTAAACTGACCATTAACCCTTAGTGTAGCTGTATACGTTTAAGTAGGTAGTTCATATATTACAATATTTGGTTGTGTTCCTTGTGCAGGGCATGTACTTCCAGGCTTACAGGTTAGAAGAGGCCCCATGGTGGAAAAGGCTGTTCAAACCCTCCACCTGGACAGATTTAGGCAGAGGAGAGGTTCGACTGAATCCCAGGAACAGGAGCAGCGGTGGGAGAGAAGGAGGCCCCAGAGGACCCCAAGAGAGAGTTTCCAGACCAGAAGAGGCACTGGAGCTATGAGTAAGTAAACAGAATTGTAGTGATAAAAGGCAAAATACAATGCTGTGTTCACTAATGGACCTTTAAAGGGGATAGCTATGATTAACACTCTTGAAAGATTGTGTGGGGCGTTCAGGGAATTCTACATGTCCATCTGTGCACGAGAGTGTAAATGCTGTTTTTAACTTCAAGTGAAGTCAGGCCCAGGTCTGCCTAGTGCTCAGCAGGAAACTCTGCAGCAGTATTCTGAAAACAGGCCACCACCGAGAAGAAGACAAGGTAATTGTGAACCATACAGGTTTGTAAAAGAGTGAAAAACTGAATTTTCGGGATTCAAATGACAAAAGAAGGTCCTGCTGACATTCACTGCATTTTGTTTTTATTTTTTATTGCTCTTAGGAGCTCGGAGGCGCAGGAACCGTAGTAGAGGCCAGCTGATGGTAGCTAATGTTCCCTCTGCTACCCTTAAGTTTGACACAGACTTTGATTTTGATTCCTCAAATGCCCAGTTTATTAAGGAGGAGCTGGAGAGAGAGGTGAAGGACAGGATGAATATGAAAGGTATCAGCTCAAGCGACCACAAATGCACCACTGCATGTTCATCTACTAGTTGTTGACACACATTTTATTACAGGACCACGTCAGTTTAAACCTTACCATGTCTTACTACATATAGATGTTAATACTGTCTTGCAGGTGAGCTCTGAATCCACTAAATTGTAGATATAGACTCAGCAGTGGCAAGACAGACTTATTCATGCACGGTACTTTATGATAACATATGTTCTGTCTTTCTATACACATGTGCAAAGATTTGATTTCCATTTTGGCCCTAGTGCAACAGAATCAAACTTAAAATTAGTAAAAGTCAATAGAATTGAACAGATTTGCTATTGTCCAGTATGTGATTTCATTATCGAGTGTAGGATTTGGGATGGTGAAGATGAGCACATGAGTTAAAACTCAACCTAGTCTTCCACCACGTATCCTTCCAGGGTTCTTACAGTAATGTTTCTGTCTGCAGATGGAAATCATGAGGTGGAAGAGAAGGAAAAAGAAGAATTGAACTTGACTGCAGAGGATGATCATTTTGGATCAAAATGCTACTACGACAAAGCAAAGTCTTTCTTTGACAACATCTCGTCTGATACGAAGTTCAGGTAAACCAAGTGGCTTTTTTATCCTCAATATTCAAACACTAATTTCTCCTGTTTGTCGATCTACAGGCTTGTGCCTCTTTTTGTGTCAACCAATGGTTTCAGACTAACATGGGCAGAAGAGCGGAAGCGCAATCTGGAGACTTTTGGGGTCCCTGGACGGTTCCTGAGGGGCCAAGGCTTCAGAGGTGGATATACTGGACTGAGAGGACGGGGCACTGCTCAGACTCTGTCTTACAGAACCAGGAGTGGACAACTGTAAAGGGTCAGATACCAAGGCACTAAAGCAACCCCATCCTCCAATAATTCCCTTCTCTATAACAAATTGGGCTGTTACCCATTACTGACCAATAAAAGCAGCCCTGTTGGCACTGTAGGAAGAATTCTGTATTTTCCCCCTGAGGCACTTATCCTGCCCTCATATTGCCAGGATTGTATTTTTATTTGTCCTTTTTTTCACTTGGCCCCATTCTGAATATGGATGCATGGCTCATTAAATGGTTCCCTATATGTGACCATAGCTTCCCCATCATGTTTGCCAGAAGGTTGTTGTTTTTTTGTTTTTTTTGTTTCAGATTAAAAATAGGAAGTGAATGTTTAAGTTTCTGTTTTGTTTTCTGCTAGTTGGAAGATTTTTGCTCCTAAAATGTATTGCTTTCATATTTAAAGTGTCTGGCTTTTCTTTTTGTGAGTAATCATCCTAATTTGTATTCAATTTTTCTAATATGTACATGTGTTTAAGAAGGTGTAAACTATACATGTTATCAACATAAAAATAACTGAATTTAAATGTATTTAAAAGCTAATGCTTGTGCTTTGCTTTATACTGTCTTAGCAACAAGTGAGACTAATGTAAATAAACTGGAAATTGCTGATATGCTTGTCTCATGCTCTCTGGGTATACTTGATGTTATATTGTCATATTGGGCTACATTCCCATGCAAGCCTTCAATTCTGATTTATTGCTCGGATCTGATTGATTTATTTTTTTTAAATGTGCCCATTAGATTCCAGTGTAACAGGTCACAGACAAACATGAAGAATGTCGATCCACAGTGACATAAAAGTCACATTTATTCTGATATTACTATTCACACTGAGGCCACGTTGCAACAAAAACAGAACAGTCTCTGATTTGGACCACAAAACGATCTGGGTTATTATGTGCCTTCAGTGTGAATCTAGCCTTAGTCAGTGGCATGTGCACAGTGAGCTTCAAATATTGGGTTGGCACTGCAGCTGATCCTCATTTTAGTTCTGTTTGTGTATGAAGCTATAAGTTATGTTAAGGATCAGGTGTTTGTTTTTGTTTTTTTGTTCGATTACACTACAATATCCCAAGTTGCGAAACCCCTTAAATGATATGAAAACTGTGCAGAAGTCCCTGTAACATGCCGGTGCATGGAGATACTGTAACGAATATTCACTTGATGTTATTGTATCATAATCTGGCACTCATTTATTTTTTCTGAATGTGCTACAAACAACTTTTGCGGCCACTCTTTCACAATTGCGAGCAGCGCGCACAATGAAGGCTGATTGGCTCTAATGAATCAAAAGATACCCGGTCTACAGTGAGGGAAAGTGGTAGGCTACTCACTGTCCGGGTTATACCAAAAACCGAGGGAGACGGGTTTTCCCTTATCATGCAACTGTTTATTATCCGTATCATTATTTGCTTGACATAAATAATACTTCCAGTAAAATCATGTTTAAATGCATCCAGAGAATTCCTGTGTTTTCTAATTTTCCTTCCTCGATGGCAGAGAGATGGCATTGTCAATACCCCCCCTCCATCTCTTGGCAATGGACAAACTATCCTAACCAAATAGAGGGGCTGCGCTCAAGATAATAAATATTAGAATAAAAGAAGCGCTTTTATTTCCCATATGACAAAATGTCGGTGGCATTTTCATCGGCGCGCCCCAGGAGTAAAGGGGAGGTGACACAGCAAACGATTCAAAAGGTAATAAATCTTGACGGGGTTCGCGGCGCTTGTAATTCAATATTGTAGTCTGGATGGGAGTGTGCGTCTCCGCCGCTAGTGCAGAGAAAGTAGCCTGTGGTGAATGATCAGAAGAAATGGCAACTGGTATTGTAACGTTACAGTCAATTGAAAGGTGTGAAGCAAACAAAGCCGTGACGGTGAGGAAGGCGACCGCTTGTACAGGCTCAGCGCTGGAGCTGTTTCCTTGTGATGCTGCTGTTCTCGCTTGCTTGTTCCCTGACAAATGAGATGATGATTCTTTTTTTTTAACCTATGAAATATCAGCTTTAGATTTTGTGATTTGTTTCCAAGAATTTTAACACATTCACAAGACCTTTGCTGGGTTTTTATTTAGTTATAGCTAGGTGTCAGTTCCTTATCAGACAGCGTCCCGTTGGCTTTAAATGGTTATTAAGGACATTCGCTTTGTTGCAAGCACATATTTAAGCATCCATTGAGAGAGGCATGGTAGTAGTAGGATGGAGTGAAACAGAGCAAACACAGGACAACCCTGAGCTCCATGCTCCTTTAGACTGATGCTGATTTTATCCTTGACTGAACCGTGTTTCTGCAAACGCACCACCCATCCTTAAGACAGGGACGATGTCCTAAATAAAGACCGTGAGAAGCTGCTGTTTCATTTGGCTCCATTATGGAGAAAAAAAGAACAACTGACCCAGAATTTCTTTCTGTGGCTGGCTGAAGTTCTGAGAATCCAGGACAACATCACTGCAATGTCTTAATGGGGCATTTTTCTGTGTAATTTACCATACACTGAACTTCAGATAACTGAAGCTGTTTTGTTGTCTCCCAAAGATGCTGGATGAAAATCATCATTTAATACAGTGTATAATGGATTACCAAAGCAAAGGCAAGACGGCTGAATGCACACAGTAAGTGTTTGTCTTCTTTTTTGTTTATTCCTGAAAGATGCCTTGTAAATGTAATTTTAAGGTAAAAGTGAGTAAATCTATGTTTCATTTTCCCTTTTTGACAGGTATCAGCAGATCCTGCACAGAAATCTTGTTTACTTGGCCACAATAGCAGATTCGAATCAGAACATGCAGTCACTACTACCTGCAGTGAGTCCCCTATGAGTAACACAGTAAATGTCTCATTTTCATCAGATGCATTCTACTCCTGCCATTTCATCACCTTTCTTACCGTATCTACTTTTTTAAAGTAAATCTTCATAATAAATTCATTTTGAGAACATAGTCTTTGAGTAGACTGAACTCATTTTATATGGAACATTAAGTAAACATTCACTTGTCATGTAAGTTGTCCACTGATAAATCTGTAGAACAAACAACAGACAATAGAGAACATATGAAAGGACACAGAGGACAGCAATTAGGAGTCTTTACTTTAATTCATCAACTATATTTTTACTTTCTAGCCTCCCACGCCCAACATGTCCATGGGTCCCGGAGGGATGGGCCAAAGTGGGGGACACACTCCAAGCAACCTCAATGACAACATGGCACCAGGATTGCCCCCCACATCAATGATGCAGAGCCAGATGAGCAATGGTGAGATTTGAACACAAATGTGCATTTTTCAGATACAATCTGTGAACTTCATGACCTTTATTGTCCACACAAACCCAGACGTGTCCATCTTGTTGTTCCATCCCCTGTCTTGAGTTCTCATCTGATCCTGACTCTGCTGCATGTTTGTGTGCAGACACCATGTCTTATTTGTCACACTGTCTCTCTTCTTTATTGTCTTATTGCCTGCAAGTATCTGTGGTTCTATGTTCAGCTAATGATCTGATAGTCGGATTGCAGCTATATGGACTTTTGCTTTCTTTGTGTTTCTAATTTCTTTTTACACACATCATTAACACTCATTACTCAATCCTGACGGACCTTGATCCTTGACTACTACCATGCAAGCTTCCTGTAAAGATGAACTGAATGTGGGTCCATGATAAACATGCTATGGCACCTCATGGGAACGTGTGCTGGCTGCTCTGACTGGTGCGTGTGTGTCGTCAGGCCCCAACCATGCCCCCATGCAGCAGCAGTCTGGTCAGGTGCAGTCGGCTATTCCCTCCGCTTCCCTCAGCCTGCCAGCCAGCAGCTACGGTAGCTCGGCCTCAGCTTCCGGCTACAGCCACGCTGCGCCCTCCTCCCAGGGCAGCATGATCCAGGGCCCTGGGCCTGGCTATGGCTCATCCTCCTCTTCCTCCTCCACATCCTCATCCTCCTCTTCCTCCTCCCGCAGCAACCTCAACATGCAGTCTAACCAAGGTGAGCCAGGTATAGAGGAGCCATCAGGAATTGGTCCAGGCTTATGAATTGAACACACCAAAACACTTAGGACTGGATCATCATGAACTATAGAATATATATAAGATGCAAGATGTCTCTTTTGATTTTATTTTGTTAATTGGGTATGACGCAAAATTTGATACTTAGAGGACGAGAGTGATATAGGGTGAGTACCATATGTTAAATCAGTTCACGGCCCCTTGATCTTGCTTAAAACATTTGCTCACATGCGTATCTGCATTCATCAATCTGTAAATTAGTCAGTGTAATCCTCAAAATAAGCAAACACATTCAGTTCATCAGAGGGGTGTCGTGCCTCCTCCCTTCTTCCTTCTGCTCCAGGCTTTACCTCTCCTAATCTCTGACTCCTGACTCCCTGAGATGCAGCCCTCCTCTCCCTGGATGTCCATGTGTATTTACTGTACCTCTGTTTATGCACTGACTTCACTGGCTTTGTTTGCATTTATACTTCAGAGCGGCCTCCTGAAAGCATCTCCTCAAAGAGAGTTCTCTTTAAGAGACCTCTGACTGTTTTGGACCCCTTTTGGCTTTACCCCGTGCCCTTATGGCCATGGACCTCTTTCTATATTTGTTGTTGTCAGTTTAATTATGGACATTTCAGAGTATGTGTGTCTGTGTATATTAATGTATGAGATCTCTCCCCCCATAATCCCACCTCCTTCCCAGTCTCTATGATGCACCAACAGTCTGCCACCCCACACTACTCCTCAGCCCAGACTGGTGGGCAGCACTATCAGGGACAGCAGGCCATGGGCATGATGGGTCAGGGCAGTCAAGGAAACAGTATGATGTCTCAGAGACCCATGGGATCCTACCGCTCCTCACAGCAAGGTAGGTGATAAGACTTCTTTGTGCTAGTTTGGTGTGGCAAGGGTCTCAATGAGTTTGTTTGTGTTGTGTTTGAATGCTGAAGTGCATAGATGGATGTGTGACTAGAGTTTGGAACAATTTGGACTGAAATGGTCAACAGGTATTCATTAGCTCTGGATGCCAGCCTCACAGTTTCAAGATTGATGGAAATGCAAAGTTTGCTGCTGAAGTATTAGTGCATGCATGGTATTAGTTTTTTGCCTTCAATGATCATAAAGCGAGCATGATATAGATTGTTTCCAAATTAGTCTATCACAGGTGTCTTCCTGCAACTTTAAGAAGCAGACTAGAGATGTATCACTCTTGTCACATTAGGTTCCTGTCTCTGTAAATCACTTAACTTGTGCTGTCTCAGCATGTACCTAATAATAGCTCCATCCTGTCCTGTTATGTCTTTTGAAGGGTGTAGATTAGGCACATAGTAACTCAGATATATAAAAAGGATGGGATACTGTTTCCAGGGTAACAGGCCAGGGTTGTAAGTCCTCTTTCACCCTGGTACACAATTATCCTTGCATGACTGGGTGAAGTATTTCCAGATACAACTGTGTTATGGAGTTGTTGTCCATAGTTCAGCTGGGTGACTGGCTCTCCAGCCATTGGTCATGGGGCTGTTGCTAGGGCTCCTCTATCAGCTGTGGCTCCTTGGTCCTTTCCAGAATGATCAGATATGCTGCTATGAAAATTTTCGCTATTGTTGTAGAAGTTAAAATGTTTTTTATGCCACAGCTCATCTCTGCATTTGGTTTGTAAAAAAGATTAGACTGCGCATGGCTCTTCAGTGCAGTTTTTGTTGAGTTTATTAGATGAAATTGAAAGGGAAAAGGAATGAGTGGAATCTGGAGTTTCTGCACACCACCACCAGGCAGAGATCAGATTCTCCCTGATAACTGGCTTTCTCTAATCCTCATTTTCTCTGCAAAAATTACATCGCATGTAATTCATCATGGAATTATTCATTGTAATTGCTCCACTTTAATTAGTATTTCCAAAATCTGGGTTAGCCCAAAATAGCTTCTTGCATATTATTATTTCAACCCATAGAACATCATCACCAGTGAAATTCAACACTACATAAGCTTAAAACTAAATTATAACTGTCATATTAATTAACTCTACTGTCAATTATTCATAATAGCATCCAACTTTCAAGAAAGCTGTCCATAATGTCGTCTGTTATAATCTTATATTTTTGTCTTTCATTAATTTTTAATACACACATATACACACACCTTCAAATTTCCTAAAGTGTCCTGGCACAGCCCCTTTAGTCTCCAACTCAGCCGTCCAACCAACTGTTTAACCAATCGTGGTGTCGCCTGTCTTGCAGGATCTGCACAGCAGTACATGGGACAAGACGAGTTCTACGGAGAGCAGTATGGACACACTCAGAGCTCCAGCGAGCCCATAAACCAGAAGTATTACCCTGATGGTAATCATGCACATCCATAAACTTCATACACACAGCTCTCAAACACACAAACCCCCATTATAGGACATGTCATTTACTTTTAGGACTATCCCTCAGGCCTGAGCCAGATTTACTGCAGCGCTGAAGCTTTAGCTCTTCCTCCCAGTCTTCGTCTTTTTCCCTTATTGTGGGAGATGAAAAGTATTGAAAACAATTACAAAATATTGACATTGGTCTCAATCCTATTTCTTTCCAATGTGTCTGTGTCCATACTGTCCCCTTTGGTGTGCCGAAATTTCAGATTTCAGAGTGCTATAGCAGTTTGTTGAGGAAAGGCCACAAACTTCCTCCAGGGTATTTCTTTGTGCATCATACTGAATGTGAAACCTTGAAAATGTTGTTTGTGCTTGAAATTCTGTGGTTGCAAATGTAATATGAATGTTTTTGCTTCAAACAAATAATAATTTCTCTTTTGTATGTAAGTGGGTTTTGCCATTGCAGAGGAGTTTTTGTATGTGTTGAATCATGTTCTCTACAGGTCATGGGGAGTATTCATATCAACAGTCCTCATATGGTGAGCAAGGCTACGACAGGTCCTTTGATGAATCTTCACAGCACTACTATGAAGGAGGTAACACTCCTTTTATCATTTTGTTTTAGATATATTTTCCTACACCTTCACAACCTCGGTTTCTCCAAATGTTTCCAAGCTGACAGGTGTACCTGTGTATTAATACCTGCAGGTAACTCTCAGTACAGTCAACAACAGGCACCTTATCAGCAGGGCTCTGGCCAGCAGCAGCCTTTCAGCCAGCAGCAGTACTCCTCTCAACAAGGCTACAGTGGACAGCCACAGGGATACGGTTAGAATAACACATGCAACCTATTGTGTATTGTGCATTTACATAAACACACTCACACAAAATAAATGAACAAATGAACTGAATGTAACCCCTCTGTTATAGGTCCTGGCCAGGGTGGATCCTCCCAGTATTCTCAGTATCAGCAGGGTCAAAGCCAACAGTATGGGTCCTACCGCTCCTCACAAGGAGGCCCTGCAGCACAAACGCAGAGGCCCTATGCCTATGAACAGGTACATTAAATAAGATCATACTCTCTCAGATTTCTCAGATTCTCTGAAACTGGCTGTGCAACAATTTTTGGATGGAACTCACCAGTCAGTTTTTAATTATTAAATTAAACTACAACGTTAACAAATAATGGATTTAATCTTGCTTGCCACAACAGATGCTTCATACCATTTAATATTTTATCTGATGCTGCTAATCTCTGATTTATCTGACTAAAACATATTCGTACACACCCCATGCATGTTTTTTTTTTGAAGAATCACAGAAAAGAAAATGGTTGGACCAACTTTAAAAAAAATACTTCAATTAGTAAAGTACAAATGAATTAAGTTTTTTCAAAGCAATTTCAAAGCAATAGTGGTAATCTCACTACTTAACATGACTGGAAAAACAATTGTTTTTATGGTTGGTTAACAATTTTCTTTTGTCAGTGTAGCTTGAGGCATGAATACACAGGGACCTACCGATATATAGACTCTCTAGCCCCTGATCTCTTCAGATCTACTAAATCATTATCATAAATGTTGTTTCTTGATTCCTGCATATTTACGTCTTTAGATTCTTACATGATCAAGTATAAAATATCAGGAAAGCTAATGGATATAGGGAGAATTTGGCAACTTAAAAATATACTTTTGCACTATGTATTTGTCTCACTAGTAAAACAAATGTGAACAACACAATGTATGAAATACAATTTAATCTCTTAGTATAAATTGTTTTACATTGCAGGGTCAGTATGGAAATTATCAGCAATAAGGTACCAAGTCGTTTTCCTGTTGGAAGAAAATGAAAAAGGAACACTTCAACAGTGACACGCTGGCTCAGCTGTGGAGTAGAAGATCTGGCTGCATCAGATTTATGATCCTCTTATTAATCACCATTCTAGCTACAGTAAGAATAAATATCTACAAAATGCTTTCCTCATATGTTTTGCAAGCTACTGGGGGTGAAGTGCTACTGGCCATTTTAACAAAAGTCAAGGTGCTTGTAGACTCAAGACAGGTAATGTAATTACCTGTCTTGAGTCCATTTGGATTAAGTAGGGTACTAAAAAAGGAGCAGTAAAGTTATGCTTCTCTTTCTTTTTTGTCTTCGCCTTTCGCTCGTCTTTATCCTATCCCTCGAGTTTAATGTTTATTTTAGTTTACAAGCCTCTTTTTTTTATTCTCGGTGCACAAAGCAGATCAGTGGGTTGTGAGACTTTGGCTATAAAAAGCAAATTAGCCTTGAAGGAAATGTTCCTTGATATTTATTTAAAAGACTCGGTCCAGCTCTTGCTTTCATTCCTAGCTGAGACTGTTATATCTCACGATAAGGGAGATTCATTTTATGAAGGTGAAAACGTTGGTCCTTAAACCTGACTTAATCAGGGGGTTTGTCTGTGTTAGTCAAACTGTGATGTGTTGCTGTGTGGTCTAAGATTATGTGTTTTCACTCTCTACATATGTCTTACTGAGGTATATTGGCACAATAGATAGCTGACTGATCCAGACTTAAAAGTGTGTACCATTGTCCATGATAATCATACATCGTGGTAGTATTTTTGACGCTATGTTTTCAGTGGCATCGATGTGCACAGACATATCGTGTATTGTGCTGAGAGTTAAGACACAGAGTTAAGAAGGGTCACACAACTCTGATGCCATTCAGTAACGATTTTACATAAAAAAAAAAAAAACATATCGCCACTTTGTCGGCACTTTATTTTGCAGTGACAGTGTATGTATTGTTTGATATTTTGTATTGTAGTGAAATTTAGGCTGTTTTTAACAAATGATCCTCAAAAAGCCAAAGTAACACAGGGACAGAACAGTAACGGGTCCTGCACCTCAACTTCAATAAGTGCAATACACTCAGTCAGTCATGTTGAGGTTGGTTCTGATATCATCACTATGATATATCATTAATTTTAGCTTCTTGACATACAATGATGGCAAAGACTAGGGCTGGTTTGTCTAATCTTATTAAATGTTACGTTGCAGGTTTCAACTGACATGTCATATTTAAGAAAATTATTTTCTGTATTTATGTGACTCATGGATAGACTTATGTGAAGTACTTCATCACAAACATAAAAGCTTTTTTTCAGTGAAAACTTGTACCATCATCTTTTGTATTAGATGAAGAAAATAATGTTAGAAATAAGTCAAGATTTAGATAAGTGTACGTTGTACAAGCACACTTGCCTTATTTTACATATTTATTTATGTTATTTCATTATCTATCTATCTATCTATCTATCTATCTATCTATCTATCTATCTATCTATCTATCTGTGATTACAAAATGGGCATATATTATGTTGTTTACCTATTGATTTATTTATTTAAAAGAAGTCAGACAACACCTCTGGTAATTTCACTAATCACTGTTTCTTACAGTTTGAGCAGTAATAAGGATTATTAGCGTGACTGTGAGGGTCCAGCTTTTCAGTGTGTTCTGTAGTAACTCAGCTTATCTCAGAAGGGTTAAATAACACAATAGTTGAAGTCATTTTGCAGGGTTAATCAGGAATGGGAGATACCTGGCTGTCAAACAGCTAAATAACTATGTACCACTCAACAGTGACAATCACAGGATTCTCTATACTACATTGAATTTGTATCAGTGTTTCATTTTACTGTGAACTAAACATGTATGGCACGTCTTTTCCAGTTCTATGTGGTGTGTCACTGATGTGGGTGGTACACTGTGTATGTGTGTGTGTGTGTGTGTGTGTGTGTGTGTGTGTGTGTGTGTTTGATTGTATGTATGTAAGATAAAGAGAGAGAGAGAGAGAGAGAGAGAGAGAGAGAGAGAGAGAGATTTGGTGTGCATAATCCAAATATGAATGTTATCTACTTATCTATTGTAAGACTGCATTGCTTGATCCTTTCTGCTGTCTTTTGTTACTGTTTGTTATATAAAAATAAACTGACATTCACCTTTTGTATGCCTGTAGTTTGTTATTAAGGAAATGTCACAAATAACACATCTTTCAATAAGATTTATTGCCAAGTAGGTTTTCAGATACAAGGAATTTACATTGGTATTTTGATGCATAACAATAAACATAGTAAGAGAAAGTCAAAAGAAAAAAATTAGTACTGCAAAAGTGAAAATTCATAAATATAACAAAAAAAAAAACCAATAAAATATATTAAAAAATGTAATGTATCTGTGACATTGAGTCAGATGTGGAGATTTTATTGCATATTTTAGTAAATTTAGATTGTAGTCAATGCCGAAACTGGCACTTCTGTCAGATTGCCCAACAAAATGTGCCACAAAAAATATTTTGTACTTTTTAATGAACCTTTTCTGGACCTGAGAACCATTCAAACGTTATTATTATATGAACTATTACAGACATGGGTCAATAACAATTTAATTGACACTGGATTAAAAACGTTGACAGGTCCACTGCCAATGGTTTTAGGTCAAAAATATTAAAACAGCACACTATCTTGTATCTTTACTTTTCTTATGTCCCCGTGTGTATTTCACATTCCAAGACACTAGGTGGCGGTAGAGGACTACAACCACAACAAAATACATGTAAATTAGTGCAATCGCGCATCCAACCTGTCCCTTCAAGGATTCCGTATCCATGGTGCCGCTGTGTAAGAAGTAATAGGTAGTTTATGTGTTGCTGAACATGTCTAAACGATTATTTAAGAACCGTATGTCCAAATGAATTGACATTATAACTTGACCAGAGGTTTATTAGCTATTGTTTTCGCCAACGGTCGAGGTGACATTGTCAAACCGCCGTTCGCTTCGTTAGAATCATAACTAACGTTAATGTCTGTTGGGACGACACGATGTTGGCGACGTTGACGAGAGTTAAAAGTCCTCGGTGGCTGTCTCCGGACATACTTTTAGGATACATATTGGGACAAGAGGTTGGAAGGAAGGAGCTGAGTGTGCTCAGTCACAGTTGTCCCCCAGTATCAGCAGCATGGAGGCGGAAAGTCACCGCTGGTTTCAGAGAAGTCAGCACCTCCTGCACTCTGTGCTCCAAAGCCCGAGGAAACCCGAAGAAAACCGAGCTGTCGGAAAAGAAGCTGGTAAGTTATGTGTATTATCAATATTTAACAATACGTTTTTTCATCTCTATTTCTCTGTAGTTTTTAGAGGGTTTCTTTGTTTTTAAGGATGGAGTCAGCCTACTGTTTTAGCTATATGTATGTGTGGAGACTCCCCAGTAGTAAACAAAATAAATGCAATCTATTAGTCAAGTTGCCTTCAAAATAAAGAAAAATGTCTTCCTGTAGTTGGGTCATTTGCTCGGTGTGTCTCCATTTAAAATGCTCTACATGCGTCCATCATTTTCTTGTGTGTGAATTACGTTAAAGAACAGAAAAATCCCATCACAGGAATATATCCAATACCAGTTCCAAATCCAGCCTTAATCTCTGCAACACATTTGACCGGTTATATCCTGTGCAAAATGCTAAAAGAAACATGTATTACTGACATATTTATCACCAGTTCACTAATCCTCCATGAAGGGATGCCCCAAAGCGTCTCCCTAGGGAAAGAGTTACATTAAGTATAATATTTATTTACTTATTTAATCATTAAAAATGTCCAACTGATCTACAGCTGATGTACCACTGGTAGAATTTCTGTAGTAAATCCCTTGTTAAAGCATTAAAAACTCCATATTCTTTTTGTGTAATCCACAGTAGTGTTGTGTTGTTGACGTCTCGCAAACTATCAGTGTAGCTTGAAGTTTGGATTAACCAGCTGTCTAATTATTTCTTGATTTGGCCCACAGACCCGTCACTTTATAGACCAACGGCGTGTGAGGCTGGTGGCTGGATCAGGCGGTAAAGGGGCCTGCAGCTTTCTCAGTGAGCCCCGAAAAGAGTGGGGTGGACCGAATGGAGGTAATGGAGGTGATGGAGGCAGCATCATTATCAAGGGTAAGTTATGTGTCAAAGTCTGTTTTGCCATGTGTATTCTACAATTTCTATTAACATGAATTATGTTAAAATTCAGGACTAGATTTGGTTGAGAATCATAAACAATCAGGGGTTTACTTTATGAAGAATTGTTTAAAATAAAAAAGCTTAATTCATTCTGCATCATGCCAAAACATGTTTTAACTCTATTCCTTATTTGTGTGCTTTCAGCTGACCGCTTTGTCAAATCATTGGCGCAAGTAGTTCCGGTTTACAAGGGAGAGGACGGGCAATCAGGAGGCAGTAAGAACTGTTATGGCAAGAATGGCAGCACAACCTATATTTCTGTGAGTCCATGCATTGGATAGTGAATAACGTGTCATGTTTCTACCACAAACCTACTGCCTAACCTGGCCTTTGATGTTTTTTTTTCCTTTTTAAAGGTACCATTAGGCACTGTAATAAAGGAAGATGGAAAGACAGTAGTGGACCTTTCTGAGAATGACCAGGAGTATCTGGCTGTATTTGGAGGGGCCGGTGGGAAGGGGAATCGATTCTTTCTGTCCAATGAGAACCGCGCCCCATTGACAGCAACCCCAGGAACGGCAGGCCAGGAGAGGGTCCTCCAGCTAGAGCTCCGCACCATGGCACACGCTGGACTGGTGAGAAAAAGATGCTTATGTTTTAAAGTAACATTGGTATATTGTTTTAAACAACACAACTGTAATTAACTGATTTTTTTCCTTTATGTTAAACCTGTCAGGTTGGGTTTCCTAATGCTGGGAAATCATCGTTGTTGAGAGCCATCTCCAACGCGAGGCCTGCTGTGGCTGCTTACCCTTTTACAACACTCAATCCACATGTAGGAATTGTCATGTACAGGGATCATGAGCAAGTTGCAGGTAAGGTAGTTGATTGTAAGCAAACCATTAATATATGTTAATATATAGAATTATTATTATTTATTATTTTACAGCAGTATAGCAAAGTCGGATCTCGCTCTGGATTATTTTTGGCTTTCTTTTTTCAGTATAATGTACATGTTTCGCTTTTATCCTTGCTGTGTAGTTGCTGACATCCCAGGCATCATTCGAGGAGCCCATCTAAACCGAGGCCTGGGCCTCTCTTTTCTGCGTCACATAGAGCGCTGTCGTTTCCTCCTCTTTGTTCTGGACCTTTCGACTCCGGAGCCCTGGACCCAGCTCCAGCACCTGCGTTATGAACTGGACCAGTATGAGCATGGTCTTTCCCAGCGACCTCAGGCCATCATAGCCAACAAAATGGACATACCCGAAGCCCGGGAGAAGCTAGAGACTTTAAAGAGCCTGGTCACCCAGCGGGTCATTCCTGTGTCGGCTCTTACAGGACAGAACACAGAAGAGCTTATCCTCCATCTCAGAGAGCTGTATGACGGCTACCTACAAGGAGCTGGCAGTGGGGAAGGCAAGCCCACTAAGTGGTAGAAAAAACAATTTATTCTTGCTCTACTGTTATTTGTTCTGGAAGATATAGAATGTATTTCATTTAATAAATATATATAAACAAAACACAATGTGTCATTTATAATTACCTGCAGCATATTGTTCAATACAATGATTTTTTTGGATTCCTTCAAACTTTGAATATAGCTTATAACAGCTTTATGCTACACAACATGTACAGATTTTGGTGACATTACATGTTAAGAGTTGACAGTGTACTTTTAATGTTAGGATTACTAAATGCCAATCTGGGGTAAACCTTTTGGGACAAATAAATTGTGTTAATTCAGTCTATTAAAGGATACTTGTGTGTATGAAGATATCAAGGAGGATTTTTCTAGGAAAAGTGTAGACTTCAAAATGTGTTGAGACGTGTGCAGATTGACGGGGAAACAAATTAAATATGATTCATTTACTCTATTTGGTAATTTTTCAGACAATACAAAAGAAAAACAATAAAACAAATGAATAAAGGATCCAAGCATACAAGTTTTGCTTGAGGTTATAATGTATTTTGATCAATTATTTATAAGGATCAGTGCTGCAGCATGGTAATGAGAGTAAACATAGTTCCTAAACTAACCAGCAGGGGGCAGTATGCCACATTATTTTAGATTACATGTTTTTCGTGCCTTTGGTAAACAGCTCTTTGGAAGTCAATGATGACATTTGTTGGATTGTGATGTCCCTCATTCAGTCACTGCCTGTACAGAAATTAAACAAATGGTGCTTATTGGAGAAATAGTAGACAATGAAAAGTTAATGCAAAGTTAATGCAGCAAGCATGGTAGATATGCAAATCAGAAGTAAGCTATTGAAAGCTGTGGTTGTGAACTGACTGTCATTCCTGAGGGGATGGTTTGTTTCGTTTGATGATCAAGAACAACAAGCAGGGTGAGGCACAACTGCCCTCTTACCGCATATCACTCATGTTTTTGTATGCAACAGGCTTTGGATGTTTCCTAGGTAGTGCTGCTGCTCGTAACTATTCACAGCCTGCGTAAGCACAATGACTCAGATGTGTATTTATGGATTTATTTCCCAACAGCCCGTTGAGGTGCGTTTCTAGTGAAAATTCTACTCATATATTGTATTTATGTAAAAACTGGAAGCACCACTCAGGTCTGCTTTGGTCTATTTTGATGTTTTACTAATGCAGTAAGTTGAGTAAGTTGAGTAAGAGGAGTGGAGACAGATAAAGGAAGCTGTCATTCTTCAGAGAATTTGAAGGGAAGATTCATGAAAATGAACATTGGGATAATAAATGGCCTGCACTTCTGTACAATTATATTTAAGAAGTAGCAGCTTCAGTTGAAAGCAGCCACTGTTGTGATCTCTTGTCCTTTTAAAGGATGGCCTCTATGTCTGCCTCCTCGGCTGGGACTGATGTTACGGAGACTGCTGTGTCACAGCTTTTCTTTTACCTTACATAAGTTAGTATTACTTATGTTATAACGAGTGCTGTTCTTTACGCATAAAACTGCAATAGGATGCGATTTATACTTGAGAGAGCTGTTCTGGCATCGTGGTTATAATCTGTTTAGCTTGTTTTAATTGTGGTGTGGCTTATGACTATGATGTCTGCTCCCTCTGTCTCTTCACAGCTCAGCATGTGAGAGGAATGTTTAGAAAGAGTGAGAAATGGGCCAGAATCCTCGGGGACTACTTTCATCTGCATCATCATCTGGAAAATGTGTGGATATGTGTACTCATTTATATAATGCGTATAAATGAAATTATTATTACCTCTTTTAATAATTAAAATTATCACCAGACTGTAAATTTTGTAAAAAAAAATAAATAAACAAATAAAATTAAATTTAAAAAGACTATAATACAGTAGTATTTATCGCTGCATACTCACATTTTGGCCACTAGTGGGCAGAAACACAAAAAAAATATTAGTTTCTGCCCAAGATACAAATGTAAGTCATTGTCCTTTCAGTTCACAAGCTAACTAGCCTTAACGCTTTTATGCAGTTACTCAACTGTTTGGTGCTAGGCAGGAAGTGTAAAGTGGGTTTAGCTAGGCTTTTTTGCTGAAAACAAGCTCCTGTTGTGGAAAATCAACATTTAGCACACAGTAAATTAGTCCACAAAAAAATAAAAAAATAAAAAAATAAAAAATAAATATTAAAAATGACTAAACAATGCTAAAATCTTAATGTAGTTTCAGATTCTCAGGTGTATTATTCAAACTGAGATTTGTGTTTCTTGTTTACAGTAGCATGCTTTTTTTCTAGATGTGGCTCTGTGGATGCGGGTTCCCAGGAGGAATATCTTGCTGAAGCAACAAACACTGGAGATAATATTCGCTCCCCCCACAGAGTCCTTAAGGAGAGGAACACTCCAGGTAAGAGATCTCTTGCTGTTCCTGTAAATTAGTGCTGTAGCATTCTTCTGTAGAATATGATCACGTGGTATACGCTAAACCTCTTTATGATTGAACAAAATTGCCTCTGCTTCACAAATAAATACCTTCTCATTTTCAGTTTCATCCGTTCATTTAATATTTGTTGTTTTTCCCACCTCCACCACAGCCTCCAGGGTGGCCCTGGTTGAGCCAACCTGTCAGCAAAGGGTTTAACGCCTTGTTTGTGTGTCAGTGGCCTGACCGGGTAGAGCTCACACATGTTACTGTGACTTCACCCTATTTAATTACCTTAGAATACCCTCACCTCACTGTCAGCAGAACCTCTGGTCTTATCTGTTACATTGCTTGGTACTGTCTATTACTGATAGACATGTCTATATCTATGTGTCATCAGAATGGACTGCTGTTAACTTGTATGTGCTAGGGTGGTTTTGTTTAGTTTTTTTAAGACTTTGTTGTCCAGGCGTGGTGGAGAGAATTTGCGACTATTTTGGAACAGCAGCTCCTACCCAGTGTCCTGCAAACTGAAACTGTAAACAACAAAACACTCTATTTACTGATGCAATGAGTGTCGTTTATTGAGAGCCACACAATCAGAAAAACGTCCAAACCTTTTGGTTATCAGAGACATAGTACATTAGGAATTTATATTATCTGTACTATTTCTGTGCCCCAGGACAGATCACTCAAACTTTTTTTCCCCTGAAGCGAGAGCAGTTTCACATAAATTATAGTTGCTTACAGCCATGATCAACGTAATCACTGTCCATACAGCAGTTCCAGATTCATAAGGTCATTATCACTAGTCACTCACATTGAAAGACCCTTAAATATATCTATATTTACCAGATTAAAACCTATAATTCATGGTTAAATTGTGTGTTGAGCATGGATACAGGTAGTGTTATTAACATTGAATAACCACAAGGAGTCAGTATTTCATAGGAAATAGATTGATAAAGAAGATAATTACTTGAAATTTTATTTTGGTTATGGGTTTTTTTTATATCTTTTTTATATCTATATTTTATATCTATCTTGTATCAAAGTTCACTTGTGATCACTCATCTATGCATTAGATATTTTCTGTGTCAAAAATTTGATTTAAGTAAAATTAAATGAGGACAGTTAAGATCATCCTTTAAAAAAATATAAAAGATATGATTCCTTAAGTCTTTACGTGGGTATGTACCCACACAGCGGCCCATGCATGCTCACACGCCCACAGGATGAACAAACAAGCACGCTATCACACACCTTTGTTTCACTTATCACCTTGTCTTTGATCTACAGTCTAAACAGAACAGAAAACCAGCTTGACAAGTTGATAATGGTTCTCTGGAAATAGCATGAAATTCGGTTTCCACTGAAGATTCTATTGCTTCATACCACGACTCTGCCCTGATACACACACTACTATTTAACTGTGGCTTGGTCTTGCTTATTTCTCATAATAATACAATTATTAATCACTAGTCCCTCAGAATCACCCGCTAATTAATTATCTACCATCTACATTGCTTTGAAAGAAGAAAGACTAAACGTCCCAAAATAGTTTAACTAGTTCAAGGAAGTAAGATTAAAGTTATTTTATCAAAATGTAAAAACTGACCAGTCCCAAAATAAATGTAACAGTTTAGAAATGTGATTGAATGTTCATGTTAGTTTTTTGGCTTTCCACTTGGATTAGAGTTGCTGTCTCAAGTTTTTCCATTACACAGGAAGTTTTAGTACTGTAAGAAGTACTTTCACTAGGCATGCAGATTGAAGCCAGCGTACTGAACTTGACAATCAGGTCTGGTTTTAAGTCTAGGTCAAAAGCCATTTCAGGGATGGAGATAGCATCAAGGTCAAAGCCGGCCCCTGTGTCTCCCTCGTCAGCATACACATGAGGAGCATAATCACCCAGCTCCTCTCCTGGTGCCTGGAGATTGGTCACTCTCTACAGTATACAGGGAAACAAAAAAGAAAAGGTTAATCTTTTTTTAAAGAAAAAAAAAACTCTAGCTTTGTTTGATTGATTAAATCCTTGTCATTACCTGTTTTAGTACTTTGATCAGAGTTTCACATCGGCCTACATCAACCTGCTGTTGTGCAGAATATGTACTGTGTCTCACAGCTCTCTGGGAAATCAAAAGCAGATAGATGTATCATTTCAGGATATAATTTTTTTTTTATAAATTTGAAGACAAGGGCTATAGTAGTGTAGATTATAGTACCATATAGTTTCTGTGCTGATGTCCCATTCTCATTGCTGATGATGCGCCCATTGACTGCAATATCCAGTGGTTAATTTAGTACAATATGCTGGGATGTAGTGAACTTCCATAATAATAATAATAATAATAACAATAGTAATATTAATTATGATATTAATCATAATTTCAGTACCGAACGCATAGAGCTGTTGCGTGTAAACTCATGTTCCCTGTAGCTTCTTCTTTGTTCCCAGTTGGAGTCAGTTATCAACTGCAAGAGGGAAAAAAAACATGTCCAGCCATGACACCTAATTTTATAAATAATGTGTCCATTTGTCACTGTGAGAAAAATTTGAAAGGATAAGGCTAGTATTAGATTCTTTTTTTTTCTGGTTGTCATCAAATCTTATGAAAACCAACAGTGTGTTACTCTGTCTTTTCCACTTTTTCAGCCAATCTGTGACTTTAAGTTCCTGCTGATAATGTAAATAGTGTTTTTAATTCCTAGATCAACTGGGTACTGTAGTTTTACTTGAAGACTTGGTGCACTAGCAATTATTTAGCAGTAGGATGGTGCACATGGACAAGCTTTACCCGGCTTTTGCTACACAGACAGCAGTATCAATTCATTCATTCATTTTGGTCTTTTAATTAGATTAATTGACAATAAAAGAATCTAGAATATCACAAGACTCATTTTAATATAGAATACGGTTCCATTTCTGACCCAAAAAAATAAATTTCTTTACCCCATACAAACTGTTAATTTCCTTGAGTTTAGTTTGGTATGCGGCGTTCTCTGAAAGTCGCCCTCCTGCAGTTGTTTTCCTAATGTCTGACTGCAAAAAAAGCCAAATCAAGTCAAGTCATGACCACATAAGTACTTGAAAAAAAAAAAATACATAGCACATTAAGAAAAGTATGCTTCATGAGTTTGTAATTAAATGAACGTATATTTTTTTTTATCACTTACTCGCTTTAGAGGATAAGACTAATATGAATTTTTTTCTTTTCTGGTTGTCATCAAATCTTATGAAAACACCAAAACCAACAGTGTGTTACTCTGTCTTTTCCACTTTTCAGCCAATCTGTGACTTTAAGTTCCTACTGATAATGTAAATAGTGTTAATATATATATATATATATTGGGTTTTTTTTGTAATTATTAGATCAACTTGGTACTGTAGTTTTACTTGAAGACTTGATGCACTAGCAAGTATTTAGCAGTAGGATGGTGCACTTGGAAAACCTTTATCAGGCTTTTGCTACACAGACAGCAGTATCAATTCATTGCCGGTTTTGGTCTATTAAGTAGATTAATTGACAATAAAAGAATCTAGAATATCACAAGACTAATTTTAATATAGAATATTTATATTTATTTCTGACCAAAAAAAGATATTTCTTTACCCCATGCAAGCTGTTAATTTCCTTAAATTTAGTTTGGTATGTGGCGTTCTCTGAAAGTCGCCCTCCCGCAGTTGTTTTCCTAATGTCTGACTGCAAAAAAGGCCAAATCAAGTCAAGTCATGACCACACATAAGTACTACATACATAGCACATTAAGAAAAGTATGCTTCATAAGCTTGTTATTAAATGAACGTTTTTTTTTATCACTTACTCGCTTTATCGTTGCTGTTGGAACTTTCTGTCCATGGTTTAATGCCTCAAAATTCACCTGTTGAAATTTTTGTTTTTTTACAACAAGTTACCTCCAGGTATCAGTGCACTTAAAATTAATTTAAATTAATAAAATTAAATGAAATTGTATAAGCCTACAGTAATAATGAAATATAGTTTATTTTAATAATAATAAAAGTATTTACTTTGCAGTCAGTTCCCGGTTCCTCAGTGTTACCGACTATCAGACTTTGTCCTGTACCTTCATTTGGCAATGGTCTGATATTGGTCATTTTACATGACACCAGAAAAGCAGCAAGTAGTGCCCCTGGGATACAAAGATCACACACACACACACACACACACACACACACACACACACACACACACACAGATCAGATCATACAGTGTTAAATGAGGCTTTTAATCTCCTGGGGATGGGCTCATGACCAAAATATAATATTCTGTTGTTTAATATCAGTTTAATTTAATTTAGTTAAAATGAAAATGTGTTTTTGTAATATATAATAATAATAATAATACATTTATTTGTAAAGCGCTTTCAGGTCAAAGTGCCGTACAGAGCATAGGAAATACAGTTTAAAAACATTTCAAATAACTAAAACAAAAATAAACACACACTCGGACTCTCAGGCAAACATACAGAGAAATAGGCCTCATACACAACAGTAAACAAATGGGTCTTTAGCTTTGCTTTAAAAACCTCAAAAGAACATGCCTGCCTGATGTCCAGAGGTAAACTGTTCCACAATGTCGGTGCACAGAAAGAAAAAGCCTGTTCACCAATTGTCTTCTTTTATGTTTAAAATAAAGTCGTATTAACAATGATTCAAGTATTTTGGATATGCATCCTACCTGCAAGCAGTAGTATACTGAAAAAAATGATCCCGAGTGCTCCTCCTCCTGCTGCAGAGCCAGTAGCTTTGCGGGACCGACAGTCTGGCCTCGCTGTGTTTAAGCAGTGACACACTGTAACTGACAGGTTGTGGACAGTGGTCTGGTGCTGAAGGTCAGACACTTCCAGTAACAGCTCAAAGTGTCCAGAATGAACTACGTTCTCTTTCACCAGGTTCACTGAATCACCTGTACATAAAAAAATAATATTATTAATATTATAATAATATATAATAATATTAGTCATATTAAAGACAAATTGTTTTTAAACTTAGAGGGTGATTTACAGGGCATTATTTGCACGAGTTTTATGGTCGAACCCCAAAGGAGTTGTGAGAATTAGAGGTCACCTTGAGGAGGGTCAACCCTCCACTTGCCCTCAACATCTCCAAGGAGCTTAAAGTGAAAAGGTCCACCATAGGGTTCTTCATCCAAATCCAAGGCTGTGATGTTGGCAAGAGAGGGCCCATCAGATTGGCACATGGCAATTGTGCTTTGAGACAGGGTAGGAGTATTGTCATTCTCATCGGCAATATGGATGCTGAGGGTTGCAGTACTTGTCATTGGAGGTTTACCTGGTCACCAAAAACACATGTTCCATTTTCAGTAATGTGATAAAGAAACTGTGATTGATAAAATATACAGAATGTAAAAACAACTGCAGTTCATACCATTGTCAACAGCATATATTGTGACGTTATAGATATTGTTTTTCACAAAGGGTGACTCTCGGTCTACGATCTTCGATGTGGTTATTTTTCCAGTCTTAGGGTCTACTGTGACCCAGTCAGCTGGATCGTTTCCTTTGATGTAGCTGAAACACACATACACAATGTGTTACATATAAGTTCTCTATTGATCTACTAATGTAGAATGTTGTTGTATCTTCATGACTTACACAAATGTGTTTGCACTTGCGATGTCAGGGTCTTTAGCTGTAAATGTCACCAGATATTGTCCTGGTGCAACATTCTCACTCAGCTTAACATGTTGGTTAGGTTTGTCGAAGATTGGAGGGTCATTGACATCCACCACAGTCACTGTCACTTGACGGATGGACAGACTTAATGTTGCACCAGTTGCACCAGTTGCACTGCCAATAGTGACACCATCAGTAATGACCCAAAGACCAGTGGATGTGCGCTTCACCACTTTACATGAGTGATAAGGGATTTCATTCTCTACACTGATAGTCAAGTTCTTCAGAGGAGTGTCTTCATAGTTCAGAGGCTGTAGAAAAGGTAAAAAAGAGTTTCATCGAAGGGCTTTTTTAAGAGCCATAAAGTTCATCATACACAGGTTGTCAGTCTTTCTACAGTGCAGAACTAAAAAACTGAAATTGTATGAATAACCACATTTGAGAATATCCAAGTCTCATTCTCTTTAGCATTTGTGGTCTCTTAGAAAAGGCCAAAATATTTAACATAAAAACTAGTTTTGAAGAATATAGGCTTGTTTTGTTTAAATTGTCGCATAAACGTAAATGTACTACAGTGGAGCATAATTGTTTTGGATTAAGCCTTTATACCTCTCTGTCTGATTCTTCAAACTGGTACCTGAACAGGATGCATATATTATTAATACAGCATGATATCTAAAGGTTAGACATTAGGTAAGGGCAGACATTAGACCTAGATGGGCGCCGGCGACAACGGCAGCCTGTTATGGCAGCTCCTATTACTGTTGTAGTTTTAGTGTGTTTTTAGCCTGTGTTTTTTGCTATTTTTAACTGTTTTCTTACTTTCTTACTTTCTTACTAGTTTGTTCACGTCGCCTAAATACCTTTTTGCCGTTTTTGAGCATTTTTTATTTTTTGTTTGCACGGGTCTCCATGGCGACGGCGAGTCGCATTGTTTACACCCATGACCAGATGATCGCCCTGAGGTACCATCCTGACTGGAGAGAGAGCCTCCATACCGGAGGAGCTGAGGAGACGGCGAGGCTGCAGAATGGGGGTTAAACGGAGGATGAAGAAGAGGAGGTTTAAACCCTACACACGTGGCTACACGAGCAGATACCGGACTCCAACGTCACCATGCCCGGCTTCCAGACGGTTCGAGCTGACAGGGACACCACCGCGACCGGCATGAAGAAAGGAGGGGGACTTGCCGTGCTCATAAACAACAGGTGGTGTAACCCCGGGCACGTCTGTGTGAAAGAGCGTCTGCAGCCCGGACATCGAGCTTGTCGCCGACGGACTTCGTCCATGTTATTTGCCACGGGAACTTTCCAGCATTATCGCCGTCACTGTTTATATTCCTAACAGTGGTCTTCATCATCACCATCACTGTTTACATTTATGATGTCTTATTTATTCTCCTGTACAGCACTTTGGTCAACTTTGGATGTTTTTAAAGTGCTTAACAAATAAAGTTGGATTGGATTGGATCTGTGGGTAAAACAGCATACTCAGGAATTTAAGTCTGTGGTAAAGTGTGGTAAAAGGTTCTGTATCTTAAACCATAATGCTTGTTGTATTGGTTTAATTTTTTGTCTACAGTAAATGGTTTTTGAAGATACCAAAACAATTTTTTTTTACCAAATAATTATTAGACTGTAGTGTGAAAAGATCAATGTATGTAAGATAAAATACCTTTTCCACATATAGTAGTCCCTCATTTGTCTCATTATCAGTTGTGATTCTAAAGTTGTTGTTTTTGTCTCCTTGGATCTTATATACCGCTCTCCAGGCCGCTGTACCTTTGGTGTCTTTGTCTTTAACTTGCAGACGGGAAACAAGAACATTTTCGTCGTCTTCTTTCACCCTCCCTGGACCCTGAGGTAAAAAAAATAAATGTAACTTTTATTATGAAAAAATACTGCTGTAATATAGGCAACAGCTGTCATTGCCTTCATCAAGTTAATTGAAAGAAGTAAGTATTCACTGTTTGTCCTGTGATATAAGGCAGGTGGTTATTTCCATCTTCTATGTTGACTATGATGGTGCAGGAGCTGGAGAGCTTTATTTTGTCTCCACAGTCTTTGGCCTCCACTACAATGGTGTATTTTTCTGCAGTCTGATCGGTTAAAAAGAACAACCACTTCAATGAATATTTAAACATATTTGATTTTGCTATATTATTCAAATTTAAGGAGATGGAACTTCCAAGATCAACAGATTTGATATTTTGCATTTGAAAATTATGCCATTAAGCAATGAGTCTTCTCACCTCATGGTCCAGACACCCCTTAAATGATATTGTTGCAGTTCTAGTAGCATTGTTCTGGGTTAAGTAGAACTCCAGCTCATGTGGTTTTGGGGTGACTGAGACTATTTTGAAATTAAATATTCCATTGTTCTTACTGGTGTCATCATCACTTGCCCTAATAGTGATCACTTCAGTGCCTGTCCGTGTCATAATAAAGAAGTTGTTTTATTTTAGGTCATTGTCAGATTCACTATTGTATTTGTTTATGTAAATTATGTAAATTGCCATTTAGTTTTGCCATAATAGTAGCAGTTAAGATTACATGAGGAAATTGTCAAAAAGTTACCTTGTAGTTTTGACTCTTCTATCCAGATCTCATAACTTTCGAGGTCAAACTTTGGAGGGTTGTCATTTGAGTCGATAATTGTTATCTCAATGCCCAGCTGTGTTTCTATTACATGACTTTCTTTATCAAGTGCCTGAAATGTTAGCTGTAATGGAAAGGCAAGAATTGTGAAATATGAAACACTTCACCATGCTCCACACACATCCTTTGTGCTGGAGATTATTGTAATAATGCTGTTTTATTGAATTCTTTCTAACCCTGAAAACATGGAATTTCTCAAAGTCCACAGCCCTGTGGACGGTAACGTCCCCTGTGTGTTCGTTGATTTGGAGTACGCCTTTGGGTTCCTCATCAACACCTTGACCATGTATTTTGAAAAGGGTCAGGTTTTTCTCTATAGTAATCTGTAGGGAGTCAAAACACAACAGTTTGTAAAAAAAAATCCTGCATCTTGTCATATCTATGCATTGTGACTCTCAGTAGGTACTTACTTTGCCCAGTGAATATGGGAATGGTCCTTTATAGCCCTCATCAATACTAAAGGAATCAATGATCCACCTTCTTTTTTGTCGCTGTAAAATTTCTGAAGATGACCTGTAGACTCCCAAAATCTGAAAAAACATATTAGTTACTCTTAATTTATGCAGGTTAAAATAATACATCCGTACACCCTCATGTTCTTCGAATCAGCTGGATGAAAACAATCATTTTGGAATATATGGCACGAGTAAGCATCAAGAAAGAAAATCATTTTGTGAAATAAATAAGGAATAAGGAAAATCTTGCCAGCATCACGAAGAGACTGATGTGTATCGTCCCCATAGTCTATCCAGATTAGTCCATTAGCAGCATTCATTGAAAACACAGAAATTCAACTACATGACAATGCGGGTTCTGGCTGCTGTATATCTGTGGGTGGGGGGAGGGTGTCAGGGCCTATCATAAAACTTCATAGCAGATGGGTGTGTACATGTGTACACGTGTAAGAATATGTGTTTGTGTTACACCAATGTGGCAAGACAACAGTTTCTCATGTATATCATACAGAATGTAATAATGATCATTATCTTTATTTCACAATGTTGCAAGTACACAAAAACCCTGTCAAAATACATACTGTGAAACACATGAACGCACATAAGTAAAAGTGAGTCCAAATAAAGCTTTTTATTAAAAATGAGTGGGTTTTCAAAAATGCTTTGAAAGCAGAAACAAATGGTTCTATATGAATGAATATACAGTATGATATGGATAAATATAATACTGAGCTTTTAAAAATAAGAATTTTAAAAGCTCAATATTGCTATTTACTAATTTACAAATTTACTAATATTACTACTAATACTATTTTATTCAACTTCTGCTCATCATATCAGCTCTTTTTTTTTTTTTTTTTTTTTAACTCAAAATGTTGCATAAGTCTCAGTCAAGAAACAACATGTCAGGCCCTTGTTTTGATCCACATGACATCAAGTTTGTCTTTGTGAAAAGATGTGGGAAGAAGTTTTCAGAATTCAAACTCTAGTTTAATTCATAATAGCAGCATGATTATATTATAATATCAATGTTTAAATGTATTTAATACTCTGCCTCAGTGTGCTGTAGGTACAATGTCATTGCTGTTTACAAACCAGACTACAGTATGATTATTATCTTTATCATATTCTGCTCCAGTTTTTATTTAAAAAAAACTGAATCTGTTTTCATCAAGTCAAGTTCCTTAATCATTACATTTGAGCTCACTTTTACTTTGGTGAGCTCATGTGGGTCAGGAATCGTTTGTTGTGTCTCTGCAAGTCCGATTGAGACATGCTCAGATGCATTTATAAAGACTTAGATACTTTGTTTCTTCCATGAAGAGTCAACAGTAGTATCATTTGGTGTCTGTAAGTAATAGGTTTGTTTTGTTTGGCTTGCATACAGTGGCAAGAAAAAGTATGTGAACCTTTTTGAATTTCATTGTTTTCCTGAATAAATTTGTCAAAATGTGATCTTCATTTAAGTCAAGGGTACTGACAAACAATGTTAAAATAATAACAAAATAATTCTGATCTTTCATGTCTTTATTGAACACACTCATTCAACACTCAAAATGGCAGTGGAAAAAGTAAGTGAACCCTTAGAATTAATAACTGGTTGACCCCCCCTTGGCAGCAATAACCTCAACCAGGCACTTCCTGTAGCTGTGGATCAGACCTGCACATCGTTGAGGAGGAATTTTTGCCCATTCTTCCTGACAGAACTGCTTTAGCTCTGTCATATTCTTTGGACGTCTCATGTGTATGGCCAAGTCAATCCATAGCATCTCTATTTGGTTGAGGTCTTGGCTCTGACTTGGCAACTCCAAAAGGCAGATTTTTTTTTTCTGAAGCCATTCTGTTGTGGACTTGCTCCGGTGTTTTGGGTCGTTGTCCTGTTGCATCACCCACCTTCTACACAGTTTCAGCTGACGTACAGACATTCTCACATTATCCTGAAGAATTGTCTGATATACTTGGGAATTCACCTCCATCCTCAATGATTCCAAGCTGGCCAGGCCCTGATGCAGCAAAGCAGGCCCAAATCATGATGTTTCCTCCACCATACTTTACGGTTGGGATGATGTTTTCATGATGATATGCCGTGCCCTTTCTACACCAGATGTAGTGCTGTGTGTTTTTTCCAAATAGTTCAATCTTAGTTTCATCAGTCCCCAAAACATTTTGCCAATACCGCTGTGGAGTGTCAATGTGCGCAGTGGCTTCCTTCGTGGTATCCTGCCGTGGATACCCTGCTTGTTCAGTGTTTTACGTATTGTAGACTCATGAACAGAGATGTTAGCAAGTTCCAATGATGCCTCCAAATCTTTGGCTGTCATTCGGGTTGTTTCTTTACCTCATTGATGAGTCTTCGTTGTGCTCTTGGTGTCATTTTGACTGGGGGCCCACTTCTTGGTAGAGTAGCAACAGTCCCAAAGTGTCTCCATTTGTAGATTGTTTGCCTAACTCTAGACTGATGAATTTCTAAAGTCTTTGAAATAACTTTGTAACCCTTGCCAGCTTTACGTAAATCAACAATTCTTGATCGTAAATCCTCTGAAAGCTCTTTTTGGCAAGGCATGGCTCACATAAGCCTGTTCTTCTTGAGCAAAGCAAACTCCAAAAGTTTGAGGGGTTTTCATCAGTCAAAGTAGCTGTAGTCCACACCTCCAAACTTATTATCTTAACGAGACTCCAGGTGTGCTAAAACCTGACTCCAATTAGCTTTTTTGAGGTCATTAACTCAAGGTTCACATACTTTTTCCACAAGCACTATGAGTTTTTTTGGGTTGCTCTCAATAAAGACATGAAAGATCAAAAAAATGTTGTGTTATTATTTTAGACACATTTTATTTGTCAATACCCTTGACTTAGATGAAGATCAGATCACAGTTTATGACAAATTTATTCAGAAAGCCATGAAATTCCAAAAGGTTCACATACTTTTTCTTGCCACTGTATATTGCTTATATCTAGCTCATCAACCTAATTAATCTTCTAATTGTATCTCTGTCCTTTTAACAAAGATCATGTGTATTGTCTGTGCTCATTGTGATAACACTGAAAAATATGTTGACCAACAACAAAGTGATCGACAGCTCACGAAAAACATGCTTACATTGGCCTTCGTTCAAGTTCTATAGGCTTTATTTCCTACGTTCCATAACTACGTTCTTCTTAAACATTTCACAGCGGAAATGTTGACATCAGGCTCTGAGGTAGCATTGTAGAGCACCTCATCACCGTCGGACTTCGTCCGTGTTATCTGCCACAGGAACTTTCCAGTGTTGTCGCCATCACTGTCTATATTCCTCACAGTGGTCTTCATCATCACCATCACTGTTTACATTTATGATGTCTTATTTATTCTCCTGTACAGCACTTTGGTCAACTTTGGTTGTTTTTAAAGTCCTTAAAAAATAAAGTTGGATTGGATTACCTACCACTGTAACAAAGCATAGCATGAATCATCTGTTCTAACTCTCCCCTCAACCATTTACCAGCAGCCTTGATGAAATCACATTTCAAGAAAACAGCTGCATGAGGTAATAAAAACCTGTATCATATTGCCAAGGAAAACAAAGTTTAGCTTGCATGTTCATTCCCTTCCTGTCCGTGTATCTCCAAATGTGGTGAGATTTAATGTGATTTTCAGATAAAATGATGCATTAAGTGTTCCTTTGTGGGTAGAGAAAACAAAACTGAAAATGGGACTGTTTTTCTGAGCTCATGAAAAGTTCACTTTTTAGTGATACATTGTTCTCACAGAACAGCGACAATACAAACATAGGATGATCTTGCAGAATATGAGGCACTGCTGTGGATTAAATCACAAACAGTATACAAAGTAGTTAAAATTAATCATCTAGAACAGTAAAAAGCAGCATACAGCAGTAATATTAATACAAAAACAGCATAATAGTAAAACACTGACACAGACAATTTGCCACCCATTCAAACACACCCTAACACACCAATGGCAGTGAGCAACCATGCAAGGTGGTAGATTCAGTTTTCTTCCCCATGTCGATGTGATCCGCAATGTGTTGATTTGACTGCATGCTGAAAGAGTAGCTGTACCTTGATGAGCCACCCTGTTCACACTGAGCTCTTATAGCCCAAACATAATGTAAATGAACTTTCTACTGCAAATTAACATACTTTATATTCTATTTCTGCCCATATATGCTCCTAAGGGTTACTTTCATGCTCCCTTGTATATTTTGTATATCAGTTTTGTGTGTGTTTTTTGTTGGGTGCTTGCATATATTTCTTATTTCCTGCTATAGCCTGTGGTAACAGCACTTTCAGTGTCCTCTATTGTCTGGTTGTGCTGAATCTGAACTTTGATATGCATTCAGTTTGTTTATGGTTATGCATGTGAGCCAGACTAGTTCAGACGAGTGTCATATTTGCATATTACTCTCTGTGTCACACCCGTAATCAAAAAACCAGCTCTGCTTATATATAAAGGTCACCCATTTTAACTTTCAACAACAGTTTACAGAGGGAACACAAAAACATGTCAAATTAAATCACACAGGCTGAAGGTAGGTCTTGGCATCGACACTGGGAGCTGATGAAACAAACTGGTGATAACACAAGCTTCATGTAGACATACAATCTTTAAATTGTACAGTACCAACACTGTAGACAGCTGCTGTCATTGGTTTTAAAAACATTGTTCAGAATGTAGCTCCCTTATGCTACACAATGTTAGATGAGATTGGAATGATATCCATGGTGAGAAAACATTCAACCCAACTCACTTTCTGCACGCTGTATCACATTTCTGCTTCCGCCACTCCCTCACTGACAAGCTCTTTGTCTTCTGAAATTCATGACATAGTTTTTAGTTTAGGATGGTAGTATACAAGTGTACATGTAATTGAGAGTGAGTACTTGAAAATGAAAACCCTCTAATGACAGTATATGTGGTCTTAACACTAATACAGTGGGACAGGCTAGTATGGTATGATTTTATTGCAATTGCTTCAATAATTGAACACGTATTCCCTCTCTCCAGGTAAAAAAATAATCACCCCAAATCCTACATTTCAATTTGTTTTCTAAAATAATGCTTGTTCAAGACAGCAAATGCTGAAATATAGTCATACAGACAGTGTCAATTACACACCACTGTATCACTAGATCATTAAAAACAACAGTTACAGTACCTCCATTTAGTAGGAACAATACTACTCCTTAGCTACTGTTAAACAATAATAGTTTCAACCAGGCAGATTTCTGCTGATCTTTATCCAGGATTTTTTACAAAAGAAAACCACTAGAAAAGTGACGTTAAGAAATATTTCCACAGAAATCACTCCTAAAGTAAAAAAGCAAACGCACCCAGTCACTATAAAAACAGAACATTTCAAAGTCTCTAGAGCATAAAAGTTTGCACAATGCGTTAATTCCATCCTGAAGCAAGCAAACAACAGCCTCTACTACATAATCCTTGTTTTGTGGATAAATACCAATATAGAACAATATCTGGCTATAAAAATGTGTGAGCCAGTTTATGTGAGAAGTTTAAGCACAAAATCCAAACGCGACGGTACATCCCTTTTTACAAAGATCCAGTTAAATCAGTCCGTAATCACAACCTCAAACTATAGGAGCGAAGACCAACTTGGTTGATATAAAAATCCCAGTCCAGCGGTTCCCTTTAAAGCTGTATGTTTTTATCTTGAATTGTCTGGTGACATATGCCTCCCAAGGTATTGAACTTTGGCTCCAGATGATTCAGAAAGTTCAAATCATCTCCCATGTTGCTCAGTGACAGCTCATCCAATGACTGGCATTTGCTGCCCTGTCCCTCGTAGGCATACTCATGGGGTTTGTACTCTGGGTGGTCTACATGGTTTCCCTCAATCATGTACAGTCTCTGTGGGATTGAAAAAAAGATTTCTGGGTCATTTTGTCAAAAACAGCTTGTACCAAAATACATCTGAAAATACATTCAGCCTGGATATACACTGTTGTATGCACGGCACTAAACTACTTCTATCATTGCCCAAAGTCAGGGCAAACCTTATAGTGATTTTGTTTTATTTATGTATATAGGCATTAAGTTTAATTCAAACCCATTCACTACAACAGGATTATGGCCGGTCCACCAGTCAGTGCTGCACAGTTTGTACAGTTTATTGAATTTAATCATCAGTAAAATGGTTGCATTTGATAAATGATTGCGTTTTATGTAGAACTTTTATCTCAAGCGCTTTACAATTTGCCAATCACCCATTCAAACACACCCTCACACACCAATGGCAGTGAGCAACCATGCAAGGTGGTAGATTCAAGACACATTTTCTTACCCTGTCGATGTGATCTGCAATGTGTTGATTTGACCGCATGCTGATAGAGCGGCTGTACCTTGATGAGCCACCCTGTTCACAGAGAGGATTGTGAGAAAACATAATGTAAATGACCTTTCTACTTATAATTAACATAATGTATATTAACAAATGTGTACAGTGCTGCCAAACAAGGTTTATGTTGCCTACTTAATAAAACATACTAATTCAATAAAGAGCACTACTTACCTGGTGGGTGCTGGTCCTGTTTGTAGTCCATGTAGAATACTGAAATTAAAGAAATTAACAAATTCAGTCTTTGCTGCCCTCACTTGACCTTATCTGACCATCACTGTATGTGTGTTTGTGTGTGTGTGTGTGTGTGTGTGTGTGTGTGTGTGTGTGTGTGTGTGTATGCGTGTGTGTGTGTGTGTGTGTGTGTGTGTGTGTGTGTGTTTTCTTTGAAAAACCAGTAAACACGTTTTTGAGATATCATGTGAACTTCTAGACAATAGACAAGACTAACATAAACAAATGGGCTCATAAAGAAATCCTGCTTATTTTCAGTATGTGTGTTTGTGGAACACAGTGCAAAACAGGTCTTGCTCATGTAGCATTAAATTGGTTGTGGCACCACCTTGTGGATTTAAACTGGCAGTGTGCAGACTCTACAAGACACACCTAACACACCAATGGATCTCACAGATACCATGTGATAACACGTTCATTAGGAAGCATATGCAAAAGAAGGGGGCTATTATAATAATAGCTGTAGTCACTTACCCTGGTCTGTCCTCTGTTGCTTTTGAGAGTGTCTCTTTGATGCTGCATGCCCAGTGAGGTCATGTTGGAGTTCATCTGTAGAGGATATACAGTAAAGTTAAATTAGAGTGAGGGGGGAGGCATAGTAGAGGACAGCAACAGGTCCTCCCAATTGCTAACTACAAGTTAGTAAGCTAATTTAGTCAGAAAACCATCATTTCAACCTGTGCTGTAAACATTCCTCTAAATCATCATAATTATTTGCCTTGTAGAATTACCAACACACAAAGGAGACTATTTACTCACCATGGTGAAACCTGAGCTGTTGTATGTACCCATGTCCTGGGCCATTACTGAAGACATCTGACCTATCTAGTTGAGTAAAACAAATGAATAAAGCAATCTTATAAGCAGAGCCCAGTAAAAATGGAATTGTATTTTTGTCTGTGGCAATTCCCAAAGCATTTGATCAAATGTTTGAAAAGAAAAATGCAGCCAAAGGATTAACTTCTGGAAAATAACATTTTTACATTCATGACTCATATACTGTAGATTCGTCAGTGCATACATGACATTCAGTCAACTCCTTAAACCTATACATCTATTGGTGTACCACAAACCTTTATCTCATATTCAAAGGCTGATAGTACTATGATCAATACATCTTCTTATTTTTATTTGTTTTACCATTATTCTAAAACAGATCAGACAGTCTCTCTTTGGAGGTACTCCAGGCAATCAAGGATGTTTTTGTATTGTGTCATACTGCTGATACTGATACCCTGTGAGCTACTTGTGTTATTATACTATTTATGCCGTAAAAGTGTCTACAACATGCATCTTAACCCCGGTCTTACGTCACATGCCTGTCTATCTTTCTTCACCTCAGGTAAATGGGCAAACAAAAGTTACAAAGTAACTGGATTATAGCTGTCATCATGGGGATGCAGGATTAAGAGCAACATTTTCCAAAGCACTAGTTGTTTTCTTTATGTAACTTCTGTTTTGCATTCTACCTAAAGCATTTTAAACTGAAATTACACCCACACTGACACACCTGTGAACAAGTCAACCACAAAAAAGGGACAAAGAGGCTGAGGGAGAAGAGGAGGAGTACCTTCACGGTGCCCTGTCTTATGCCATCCGTCACAGCCACACTGTTTGTAGGTGCAGCAGTTGGCTCAGTCTGGCAGAGAAGACACAAATGAATAAATTGAGTAGAGACCAAATGGCTAACACAGTGTGATTGGTGGAGTAACATAGCACACACAAACTCACTGTTTTACTATCTAATTTGCACACAGAACATAACCAACACACCTTGCATTCGGAGCCCCCTCCTTCTTGGTTGTACTTGATGAGTGTCTGGTTGCCCTCTTCCACCATGGGCATGTGCTTGAACTCCTCCTTTCCACACTGACAGATAAAGATGAGGAGCAGTACTGCAGACACACACAACAGTGTTCGCACTACCAAGTGTGAATTTGGGTAACTGTGTGACGTCTCTATTCAGGATATTCCTGAAAAAGAGAGCCTTGCTCTCAGTGAAACACATGAAGGTCATACACAGGAGTGTATAAACATGTCAGCATGGGAGCAAGACCAGCAAAAATTAAGTTATGACATGTTTAATGTCCACACACCAACTTCAATTCACAAATTTTGTTTAACCAAAATTATGACTGAATTATTTTGATCTGCTGGAGATCTAGCAATTATCAAAAAATTATCTTGTAATAATTCAAAATAAAGCTGTTTGACTAGTTTGTGTTCAAATAATAAATCCTCATATTCCTCACCCCTCTATTAGTTAAATGACTAGTTGATCTTAGAACGAGTTAGCAATCTTGACAATTTCATTTACTCAGAGAAGTTGATTTGAATCTAAAATATTTTTAAGGGTACCTGACGGTTTATCGAGCATGAACTTGGTTTTGTTAGTGTTGCCACTGACTGCCATACTCACACAAAAACAGGAGGAGTCCTGCAAAGATCAGTCCAATGCCAGGTGCCCCAAGGCTGGTTGAGAGCGGCTTTCTGCCACGGCAAACGTCTTTCTCTTCACAGTCACACACCATCACTTCCAAAGTATCCTGTCCAATCATGTTCTGTTGGTCCAAAATCACCAGGGGCACAGAGTAGTTACCATAAGCAAGTGGGTTCCGGCTAACAAGACCACCTTCCATGCCTGAAGGATGTAAATAAAGGTGAGCTTTTCAATTGGAACCATTTTGTTTTTGTTTGCTTGTTTTGTAAGGAGGGGTTACAGATAAGCACCAACCATAGGCAGGCTCTAGTTTCCATTGTTTCTCCAGAGTTTCGTCATTACCCCCCAGGGAGAAGGTGAAGGGTCCACTGTAAGGATGGATGTCATCATCCTTGGCAGTCACCTTGACCTTATTATTCTTGTTTCCACACATAATGACACCTTTGTTTACAAGCTGAGGCTTATTGTCATTGATATCACCCAAGTGCACCAGGATGGTGCCTGTACCTGTGGCTGGAGGCTCACCTTGGTAGCCACAGCAAAGGAAAAAGACACCTTGTTAGTCTAGGCATTTGGTTTACCAGTGGACATTATCAATCTTGTGTTTTATTAGAATACAGAGTGAAGCTCCTTCATACCATTGTCTATGGAACAGATGAGGATTTTGTAAATGCTTGTGCCATTAAGAAAGGGAGACTCTCTGTCCATCTTCTTAACTGATGTGACCTTTCCTGTTTTCTTGTCAATGCTCACCCAGCCAGCTGGATCCTCACACACTTCAAACCTAATCACATGACGAGATGTGGAAGTGAAGCACACCATATGAAGTCAAAACACTGAATTTCAGGAAAAAAAGAAGGTCAAAACTGCCTAAAATGCGGGTCCTGCGCACTAACCACGTAATATATTACCCCCTGCTAGTTCCTAGCAGTGTCCCATTCACCTCTCCCCCCGGTATAGTGAAGCCATGACCCACCCTACTTTGACTCTGACTTTGACAAAGGGTTTAACCTGAGCCAGGCCATACAACAACGATAGCGATCATACAGGCTTAGTAGTATACATAAAATATATATATATATATATATATACACACACATATATATAGGTACAAATATCTGTTTTATAACGAGCATTTATTGGCTCAGTACTCGGTTTCAGCCAATATGCAAAGTTAAGGAATAGGAATTGGTATCAGGAAGGAGAAAATGGTATCGAAACATCTCTAAAAATGCTATAGTGTTGTACAATTTTTTTTATGTTTTTACTTTCAAATGTTGATATCAGTGACCAGCAGCATAAATCACCCTCTATTCACAATTTGGCAATAAGCTCAGTAGATATACAGTATGTAGACACAAACCTGAATTTGTCAGATTCGGCATCTTCAACCACTGGAGTGAACAGCAACTTTCCTGGCTTTTCCTCTTCCTTCTGGTACACATCTGCTGGACTGTTCTTAAACTCCGGTGGATCATTGACATCAATCACTTTGACTGAGATCTCGACTGAATCAGGTGTGTCTCCTCCAGGAGCTGATTTACCTTTACAAACCTTGAAGGGTTCTTCATTTCTTACTCCAATCTGCAGGTTGGTCAAAATAGTTTTTTCATAATCCTTGCCCTGGAAGAAACGCATAGGTTTAGGTCAGTACTGGTGCAGCTGCTGTCTATGATAAACGATTAAACTTTGTCTGGACTTTAAGCCCCGTCCACAGAAACAGAATTACCTTTATGACCCTCAGAATACCCTCATTAGTGATGGGGTCAGTTTTAATTTCATAGTTTCCTTCCTCATTCCCTTTAATGAAATAGTATTCCGCACGCCAAGCAGGAGTATTAGGAGTGTCTTTGTCCTCTACCGCAACTCTCAACACATCTTGAATGGCTGATTCATTTACCACCCCATTGTACTGGAAAAGCAGAACAGTTTCATATTTAACATCACACATCACTATAAAAAGCACTTTAATTGTAGTAATAATGATAAATATATCTGTGCCTTTCTCTCCTTGAACGTTGGTTGATGAGTGTTTCCGTCCATGATATTGATAGTGACAAAACCAGTGGAGGAAAGGGGCACTTCTCCATGATCACGTGCTTGAACGATAACCTCATACTTCTTTACTTTCTGAAACATACATGAAAGATTTTTTTACATATTATATTGACAAAATCAGTATATGTGTGTTTGTCATACACTTGCAGCAGGTCTCTGAGGTAGGCACAGTAAGTCACAGAGTCTCACATCATAGTCAAAACATCCTTCATAGATGAGTTGGGCCATTCTGCCATCAAGCTGTTTCAAATCAATCTTGGGCTCTTCTGGTGTTTGTTTAATCAGACTGATTGTGATTTTGGAGTTAGACGTGTTCGCCTGATCTCTGTCCATGGCCTGTAGCTGCACTGGTAAGTACCCTTCAAGAAGTTGAGGAAAGGAGTATGAATGTGTTATCGAATAATAGGAAGTAGGAAATAGCCATATCACTGTTTATTATTTGCATTTGTTTGATGTGTGATACTCAGTGACTGCAAGCTGAAAAAAAATGCATACTCTATGAGTCATGTAGGAAACTGTATACTCACCTTCTTCTATATTTTCCTTCACATTTACTTGCATTCGAGGTTTGAGAAATGTAGGTGCATTGTCATTGATGTCTTTTATTTCTATATCAAAAGCCAGTTCCTTGTCCAATGGTTCTTTCGTCAAGCTGTCGTAGATTTCAAACTTGATCTGTTGGTTAAGGTACTCATATAAATTATTTCTTAAAATCAATTATTAAAAATCAACATAATATGTATTTATTATCAGAGGAGGGGAGATTAGCTCACATGGAAAGGTTTTTGGTATTCCTCTCTGTCAATAGGTTTATGAGCAGAAACCTTCCCGTTTTGTGGATTGATGCTGAACACATTCTTTGGATCCTCATCCACACCCATTCCACTTATACGGAACTCATGGTTGTTTCCCGACATGTTATTAAACATCTAGTTTCAAGACACAAACCATTCAGCTGTTATTGTTTGCATATTTGGCCTGGATATTGGCCAGAATATTGATCTGTCACATGGTAATTTTGTAACGTTTACAAAAAAAAAAAAAAAATGTTTTCACCCGAGAAATGACTTTGGGGAATGGTCCAGGGTCTTCCTCTTTTAATTCAATTGTAGACAAAACCCACCTTCTTTTGGAACGCACCAAAAGCTCCTGTTACCCACAATGTAGATAATTATAATTGTTAGAATTACTGCAAGAAGTAAAACATTCAGCCAGAGTTTGCTATTCTAAACATGAAGCAATTACCCGTTTGGAACGCCTTCTGTTGCTACAGTGAGACTCTGGCAGGGCTGTTAAGGCAACCTACAACAACAGAACATAGTGATCTCACATTCAAATGTACTGGCAACTTAAAGTTTCTAATTCATCTAACCTGCATGTCTAGACTGTGGAAAAAAAACAGAAAAACAAACCAATTTATCTTAATTTGCCGTTGACAAGGAGTGCTACGAGGAGAGTATATTATGTATGGTGCAATCATTCACAGCACTGATAAAATAACACCCATTTAGATTTTTATTAGATCTTGACGAAATCGGTCTTCCAGACAAACATATTATTAAATGTATGAATCCCCAATATAGTTATTATTATATATTAATTATAATGAAATTACATCTAACAACTTAATAACAACTTTAACTAACAGCAAAGCATGTGGGTCCCTGAGCTTTTAATTATTTTTATGATTTTATACCTTTATTAGATAGTGATAGTGGAAAGATGACAAGTAATGAGAGCGAGAGAGAGACAACATGCAACAAAAGTCCCCGTCTGGATGCGAACCAGCGACATTGCGCTTTATCATCTGCATTTACTCCTAAGCCTAGGCCCAAGGTCCTATATTACTGACCCTGAATCACAAACTAAGGCCAAAAGTTCAAAATATAGTTAGTAAGTAAAGGTTAGAATGTATTATTATTATATTTTGGATTACAATAGAGATGTGGCAGGAAATGAAGGGAGATAAGGATGAGATGGCAGTCTAGACGCAAACCAGGGACATTGTAGTTCAGTTGCCTTCTTGTTTTTTGTTTTTTTTCTAATATTTTTTCAGGGCTTAATGCCTTTATTGTAGCTGAAGATTGACAGGAAAGGTCGGACATGGTTGTTGCAGCAACAATTTTTATTTCTAAAATTTATATCAAAGATATTTCTTTATATGAATGTTTCAGCAGATTTTGCCTCCTGGATAAAAGTTACAGTTAAATGCAATAATTCTACAGGAGCATACTGCTAGATTACAGTGATATGTTTTCACAGGATACTGTCAACTGTCATTTCACAGTGATTTACTGTAAAAGTAATGTATCTAGTTACCAGTCATTTACTGTAAATGCACATACAGTAACAAGCTGTGAAAGTAATGCAATTAATAGACAGTAATTTACTGTAAATGTACAGTCAAATATTTAATAGTGCACCAATCATCCGACTGACATACAGCATATAGTGTACAGGGCACTCATTTCAAGGCACTGTGTTCACAGGGAAAACATCTTGTCGCCTTACTATCAAAAAATTCAAAAATATTGGCAATATTGACAGTGAGTCAGAGGTCTGCAACCAGAATAGTCATTACGTGCACGCGTTCCCGTCCTTTTCCTTGATGTCCACCTAGCCAGAATCTATCTCTATCTAATCTCACTAGAATGGGAATGTGTTAATAGGTACCTTTTTTTTGCATGATGGAAACCAAATTTAACACCTGCACACCTTATGTCCACGTTAATTCACTCAGGTAGCACAGATCTCATCAAACAAAAGACTGTGATAGCGTCACTCCCATTTTAATATTTTTGCACGAATGTTTGGGGCAAGGCGCCCTTCTTTGGCATGTATTCTGGCAATTTCATAAGGAGTATACAAAGGTGGGATTAATTATAGGCACCCTCATTACCAATGGCTTTTTGTTTTCTTATGATGTTCATATAATTAGTTTAATTCATGTAGGCTATTTTTAAATTATATCTGTATCTTTAATTAATCTGTGTCTGAGGTCCCCCTGTTGGAATGTACTTGTTGTGTTAGTTGTGATAGCCTATAATCAACCCCAACTGTGTATATTTATTGTGAAAGAAGGGCATCTTGCCCCAAACGTTCATGTGGCAATATTAAAACGTTTATAAAAAAGTGCTGTCCTAATCTTTTGTTTTATCATTTACACATTTAGGATTCTGCACCCAGTTTTTATGGTCTTAATGTTGAGTGTGTTAGGCCTTTAAGACCTCAGCCATGTTCAATTGAACTGCGCTACAGTACAAGTACTAAAGGATATTTTTTTAAAGAAATTAAAGAAATTCCACAAAATCTAGTTTCTCAAAGCTTGATTTAAAAATTTTTTTAGGAGGAAGTAAGTCATTTGAAACACCAAAGGGTTTGAGATTCTGAAGTTCAGTTTTTAAGCCCTCTAAACAGACTCAGGTCGGTTATAGTCAGCGTATGTGGACACTACAAACGAGCTCAGAACCCGAGTTTGTGTGGAGGGCTGAAAGGGTGAAAACACCCTGAGTAATGGTTCGCTTAAATCTGCGTGGCGATTCGCGTAATCTGTGCATTGTGAGCACTCCAGGTTCGCCTATAGTGCAGCGGGTAGTGTTACCACGTTTTGCGGTCCTTTATGGTCGAGCGCTCTCCTCTGCAGGACAGGAAGCAGGGCTCAGATCCACACACACAGGCCGACACACAGCAGAGAGCACGGGATTGTTTACTCCGGACAACTCAAATACAAAGTAGAGCAGCGACATTTCCACCTGCCTCATCTGAGGTTTTTGTTTCAGCGCGCTACTATAATGTCATAATGAATAAAGCTGTCTGTGTGTAGTTTCATGTTGTGGACATGAGGAAGGACTGATGTATGTGTGTTTGATGTTTTAATTTGTTTCCAGTGAGATATTCTTGAGTTTATATAGAGACGTAGCTGATGTTAACTTTACTGTTGCTGCTCCTGAAACATTATTTAGCTAGTTATGTTTAATATATAAATAATTTATAATTTTTTTTTTGATAATGTATAATGCTAGTGTAATGTGAACTACTACAACCTGTGTGGGGTTTTTGAATAAATATTGTAGCCATAATAGATAAATACAATTATGTGAAAATGCATAGGCTTTAGTCAATGACTAATAAAAAATAGAGAAACCAGCAGGTGAGAAACTATAGTGTGAATAGAGAAAGGAGAGTCTCCAGTCCTCTTTTAAATGAACTGAGAATATGAACACAAAAGAGGAGGACTGGGTTTGGTTAATTTAAAAAGGACTATGTGTGAAAAGATGTTAATAACAGGGAAATCTACATTATAACCCAATCAAATCCAACAACTCCATTTAAAATTTGTAAAGCTTATGAAGGTGGTGTTTAAACTGCATTGTAAGCAGCCCGTGTTACCATGTCCACAACCTTTATTTCTATAATATAGGCTTATGCATATAACTGGTTTTTCTTGATGACTTCATCCATCTGCATTTGCCTATAGACTTTGTTAAGCAACACAGCAGTGACTACATGTTACATGTTCATAGACATTCTGTGCTGTTATTTTCAAGTTTACGAGTAATTGCAAGCAAGACAACTCTCTTAAAAAAATAGTTAGTGAAAAACATAACCATTCATAAACATAACATTCACTTTGTGTTTCATGTCCAAAGCGGTTGTTTAAACGGTATCATGCCTCATTATAAATAATAAGTTGATAGATAATAATAATTCCAAATGTCATGCATACCAACAGAAGCAGGGAAATGGTCCTCATCTTGATATCACTCTGCTTGATATCCGCTGTTGGAGTACTCCAACAAAGTGAAAGAGAACTTGAATAAGAGTGTGCGAAAGACAGCCCACAATGCCTGCAGGCGACAGGTGGACTGACTTCAGTTAACAAAGAGCTGTTTGTTCATGCACGCAGTTAGGTAGCATAATTGTGGTGTTTGTACATACAGTTTGGGTGTAGGATAGGACCAGTTGGAGGCGTGCTTTATGTACACTCATCTGTGTATTTTCTTCGATATCTGAAAACATTTTGTGAGAGAGAACTTTAAATGGGGTTTCTGCCTGTGCTGAGAAACAGAGCTCGGCTCAGGTGTACACCCTGCAGCTCTATAGCTCAAGTTACCATGTCTTATTTATGTCTGGCCTACATCACATGCAAATGCAGTTCAATTTCATAGATCCTTTAAGTATAAGATAAGTGACTGTACAATGTCTGTCACTCTCGCACTCACTAAACCAGCTGTCAGTCTATATGCAATTGGTACATTCTGTCCTTTTCCACTCATGTACATACTGGTTATAGACGCCATTTAGGTCTAGGTTTGTCTGTATTTACTCTTGTGCTGTCTTAATGACAGCTCATTTAAAATTGACATAGTCAAAGGATTAAATTACACATAATAAAGCTATTCTAAATCTGATTAGCTCTTTAGATTTTAGGCGCTCTCTGTCTATGTAATGTCTTTCAATGTGAGCATGGATTCTGCCCAAGATCATAACACAAAGCATGCAGGTGGAACAGTTCCAATCCATTAAGAGGTTGCCATAAGACAATGAGTACTCAGTGTTCATAACAGAGCACACCCGTATTTGAAAGGCTGAACCATAATTGAAAAATAAATGTGGTTAGTGATGATTTTTTTTTTTTTACAGAAGAGTGAAGAGAGAGAAAATGGTGCTTTATATAACGTAACATAACATTATATGAAAAGATTTGCCTCCACCCATCCACTTGCTTGGTAAAACTAACACGAATGACTTGTTTCATTGTCACGTATTATTTAATTAATTATTTTCCTAAAATTTTACAAGCTGATCGCATATATTTTTTGAAGGTCCAGTGTGTAACATTTAGATGGATCTATTGGCAGAAATAGAATATAACATTCATGGGTATGTTTTCATACCCAATAATCATAATAATCATTAACTTAGAATGAGACGTTTTTATCGAGTGGGTCCTCCTCCACGTAGTCCGCCATGTTGAACCACCATGTTTCTACAGTAGCTCAGAAGGATCTATGTAGAGTTTATAACATTTTTCACTTCTTTGTTTTTAGTGTGCCAAAGAAGCTTCTTGCAAATATGTGGCTGAGTTGTTTGGCATGTTTCCAAAACTTCAAAGATGGGGATTTCCTAATACAAATTTTGTGTGTCCTTAATAAATGGGTAGTGTAGAAACTGCCATCGTGTCACATATTTATTTCCCTTATCCACAAAGGGCAGAGAGCAAGTAGAACACATGGACAGACTGTATATATTCTTACCATTGGGCAGTTTTCAGTGTGTCTACCCCTTGGAGGAAACTCAGGAACACATGCACAATCCACAGAGAAATAATTCTGTGGTTCTGGCTGTGTGTTATTTCTTTCTTCCATCTTTCTTTTTGTCTAGCATGATGATAAACATCAAGATTTGCCCTACAGCATGTTGAACAGTTTTAAAGGTGGGGTTCCAGAAACATAGTATCCAGAGAAAGTATACTTAAATCTGAATTTAGCAGATATGTTAGTTGGGAACTTGTTCTGTCAGTCAGTGTCTTAACAGTGTGGGAATGTAATAAAAAATAATTTTATGTCAACCCAACGGTTGTAAAGAAACTATGAAAAGGTAATTAAGGTAATTGTTGTGTGGTTTTGTGCCATTAGTTTCTGGTATGTGACATTTCCAAAATTGAATTTGCTGCCTATGCTTGACAATGACAATGATTTTTAATTAAAGACAAAAGAGATTGTGGGAAGTAGGTAGTCAAAGTTTTAAGGTTTTAGGGTGGAGGGTTTTTTAATTCAGTCCAAGAAACTCAATCTTCTGTAGGAATCAGTTATATACTTGTGCTTCTTGTAGCATTATTTTCCAGCTCATTTCAGTTTTAAGGTATTGGGTTAGGATACAAGGCATAAGAGGGTAATTTACAGATTATGTTTTCAATTTTACTTTTTACGGCCTACGGGAAAGTGGTAAAACAAGAGAGGAGGGACTCACTGTTGTTGACTCTTTAGTTGCCCCCATAGGGAAATTAATGCAGATTTCCCGTCATACTCCAGCCCTGCCTCTATCACAGAGGGCGGGTTTGTTGGTCTAGTTGTGTTCTGGGAGTTGAAGGTCTCTCGGACACAGGCCTCGTCCAGACGTTCCCAGTTCACCCGTACTACATATTTGGGTTTGCCAGGTCTTTCCAATGGCTTCCCTCTATGGAGCCAGAACAGTCTCATAATGGTTTAATGCACACAGAAATGAATAAATGCACGAAAAAGGACTCACAAATGTATTTGGGGAGTTGTATATATATATATGACTCGATACACAAATGCATTTTCAATGCACACACAAATATGCTTCAATCCATATATAAGTAAAAAAAAAAATTCACATATAAAAATAAGATTTGTAAACATATTTGTGATGCGCACACAAATATTTCTTGTTTTAAATATGTGCAATAAAAATTGTACAAATCATCAGGTATTTGCAATTTTCATCAAATACATATTTGGAAGTTGTTACATTGATATATGAATTGTCAAACGCGCATTTGTCTCAGTGCTTTTAATTTGTAAACCTCCCTGCATTTGTGTGTGGAATTTTGAGACTCTACAAGGGGGTCGTCTGCAGCCAATCAGATGTCTCACTCCTTTACAGCCAATCACATGAGTGCCTCCCCACGAGGGGTTTTTAACTGACGTCATTACAGCGTGCAATGGATATGATAATGATATGAACGAATGATATGGATCTTGATCATGATCTAGATGGGCCAGAGGAGACGGCAGCGAAAAAAGGAAACATGGCGTCTGGAAGCGGCAACCGCAACAATTTTGTTTCACTTACACTTAAATTGTCGCAGCTGTCACTTCCAGACACCATGTTTCCTTTTTTTGTGAGGCACTCATGTGATTGGCTGTAAAGGAGTGAGACATCTGATTGGCTGCAGACGACCCCCTTGTAGAGTCTCAAAATTCCACACACAAATGCAGGGAGGTTTACAAATTAAAAGCACTGAGACAAATGCGCGTTTGACAATTCATATATCAATGTAACAACTTCCAAATATGTATTTGATGAAAATTGCAAATACCTGATGATTTGTACAATTTTTATTGCACATATTTAAAACAAGAAATATTTGTGTGCGCATCACAAATATGTTTACAAATCTTATTTTTATATGTGAATTTTTTTTTTTACTTATATATGGATTGAAGCATATTTGTGTGTGCATTGAAAATGCATTTGTGTATCGGAGTCATATATATATATACAACTCCCCAAATACATTTGTGAGTCCTTTTTTGTGCATTTATTCATTTCTGTGTGCATTTATCCATTATGAGACTGTTCTGGCTCCATATTCCCCCGCCACCTAACCCAACTCACCACCAGATGGTGATCAGTTGACAGCTCCACCCCTCTCTTTACCCGAGTGTCCAATACATGCGGCCTCAGGTCTGATGATACAATCACATAATCATTCATAGACCTTTGGCCTAGGGTGTTCTGGTACCACGTACACTTATGAGCATCCCTATGTACAAACATGGTGTTCGTTATGAACAACCCATGACTAGCACAGAAGTCCGGTAACGAAACAGTGCTCCAGCACACCATAGCTCCACCACATAAATTTCTCAGGAAGCTGAAGGACATGCCATACAAAGGGCTAAGTAGGTGGTGATAAGTTAGAACATAATTCCAATAATCTTATTGGATGGTTTTATTGCAGTAGGAAGAATTTCAATATCAACATGCAGAGTTGCAGGGTGAAATCAATGGAGGTGGTTGCAGAACATGATTTATAGGTTTTGGTCCAGAAGTATCAGTATGTTTCCCACTATGTTGGAGAGTTTTGATAAGTACGTGGCTATCACATTAAAATATCTGGATCTGTCAGGCAAATTGAAGGAATGCTCAGTTCATGACAGCGGGCTTGGACTCACTATTCTGTGATTAAGAGACAATGCGCGAGTTCTTTACCAAGGAGAAAGTTTTAGAGTGGACGACAAAAACAAACCATGTAGGACACAGTCCAGCATCTCAAAACTTGTCAGCAGTTCAGCATAGGCAAACAGTTCCATATTTTAATCCTCACCGTGATAGGCGAAGACTGTAATGCTGTCTAAGAGTTAAATCAGAAGAGACATAATTGAAAAAAGGCATAAAGAGTAGAACTTAGTGAAGTAGCCTGAAAATATTCCTGATATAAGTTTCCCTGAGGTTTATTAAACTACAGGCAAACTAATAGAACTACAAAAACTAGAAACATCAAAACACAGAGAGGAGAAGAACAACTACCACTATACCCTTGTTAGAAATTTCCCTGTAAGAAAAATTCTTTACTCCCTTGAGCACTATCATTACAGTGCGTGTATGAAGAGTTCTGGGCTTTATGAACAACTCTTGACATGTAAGATCTAGTTTGAACTTGGTATCTGTCTGCTTTAAAGGAGAGGTTTCCATATCATATGATAATTGAAACAGGTTTTGCTTGCTGTAGGCCTAATACTATACCTCCCATTCATACTGGCCCCAGAAAAGATCCCCTCCTGAAGTGATTTCAGTCCTGGATATTTTCAAAAGTATTGAAACATTAGAAATGTATATATGAAGTATTGGTTCAAGAGAGTATGCAGACCTTCTAAGCATTGTAAAAAATGTTGAAAGATGTTTAGAAACTTAAAGTCTTCTGAGAGGATGGTAGGTAGTATGACAACAGCAGAATGTGAGATATATGAGAAAAGCAGAAAGAGAAACCAAGAGCCAGTGAGTGAAAGACAGACAACACAGGCAAACATACAGTAAATTCAATGGTTTTAACCTGTTTCATTTTTATTTAGTTCCTAGCAAGATATTCAAATAGGGAAGACATACACATCACTTGTTTTGAATGTAGATGTGGGCTCAACCACGTATAGTATTATAAGTATACAACCATACCTGTTGTATTGTAATGTTTACCATCCACACCCTCACAGGCAGACAGTACAGTCACACGTCCCCCTTACAAATAGATATACATCTTTCACACAGTGCATAAACAAACAAATATTTCTCAAGTGAATCACTCTCTCTCCACATGCATAAATACCCAACTCTCAAATTACATCCCACATGGAAGAGAGGAGTAACTTGTTATCAAGTACAGGTGTCACCTGCATAGTTCAGTAATGAATCACTTTTCAATTACAAAACTGAAAACAACAAGAACAAAATGTCATGCATTTACAAACACAAATCCATTCATGATACTGTTAATAGTTTGCACATGCACATGGCAATAGATTCATGATAACATTGTCAAACAAGTGAAACCTTTTGTTGGGTTTTGCTCAAAGTGCCTAATTTCTACCCCATAGTAATCCTCTGAAAACACAAAGAGAACATGCATGATGCCTGCAATTTGTTCCTTGAGCCTTTGAACTAAATTCAGTCAGATTGCCCTTCAAACATGCTCTCAATACCTGTCATTATGAAGTCTTAATGGTTCCACACCTCAAAGCCTTTAAACAGACTAATTAATAGCTTTTCTGTGTGTTGGTATTTGATTCCTCCATCCTCCCCCACCTTTTGCAGTTTGCATATTCTCCCTGTTTGGGTTTTTTACAGCTTCTTCCCACAATCCAAAGACATGCAGGTTAGGTTAGGTTAGTTGTCCGTGTCTGTGTCAGCACTGTGATTGATTGTGTCCTGCCTCTCACCCAGTGTCATCTGGGATCAGCTTCAGCCCCCCTGCGAATGAGATTTACAGATTGCCTCGGACTTCACTTTTCTTTGCATTGTTCTAAATTTGCTTTCTGATTATGACTCTACTCTGTTTCTATTCTTGTACTTATGGCAGGTCTTTAAAGCAGACTTACTGTTTCACATGACTGTTTCGCACCTGTATCTTTCTGACACAAAGTGGGCATGAGAGTGGTTTTTCTCTGGCAACAAGAGGAATAAATCTTGAACATGTTAGTGCACAGGACTGGGATGACTAATAACATTTGGATTCTGGAATATTTACATTGCCAAGAGATTAGCCAAACAACAAAATAGATTATTTAACAGTTAATAGGAAAAATAGAGAAGATTAGTTGTAAAGAAAAATCCAGTGTACTCAGGAAAACATTCAAAAGACACAGCAAATCACAGCCAGGTCAACCATGCTAGGTTTTCCTGAAAAGAAAAGAAGAGCAAAGAGAGACAGAGAGAGGTCTCTGGCTCTTTTTACGCTACAAATCTACAAATCTTCAAATTCAGTCTTTATGAAGACTTAGTTGCAAGGCATCTTTCGTCCTCGTCTTCCTCCTCTGTTTCTTCATCCCTGGTATGGGGAACAGAGGTCAGCAGCAGAGTGTCGGCATGGACTTCTTCATCGTCAGACTGGATCACAGGTGTGTCGACTCCGCCCCCGCTGGTGTCACTGGAACCAGATGACGTAGAGGACATGCGAGACCCACGGTGAACTTCATTTTGCCGTTTCAAAGGTGCGCGCTCCCTGTAGACGACCTCTGCATCTTCATCTTCCTCATATTCGTCTTCGTCCTCAACCTCTGTAGGCAAAGGCTGTTAGAACATATCTGTACCTGTTCTGTCAGTGCTAGTTATTTCATCTCGGTGGACCCAAATATTTGTTGCTGAATGGCTGAAAGCTGAAACTTTATATCATATCTTCTCATATGACTCTCCTAACTCATGGTGAAACTAGATTAGAAACCTAGATTAGATTAAATATTTTTTGTTTTCCATTAGATGGTTCAAGTCAGATTGCAGATTGCAGAGATCAGAGTTACTGTTTTTAGGGCGTGACAAAAGTTTACAAAATTTTTTTTTAAATAAGTTTAAGTTTAAATAAAAAACGTTACTCATTTTACTTTTGCCCATGAAAGCTGCCTCTAATGTCTCTGTTTCCATATAAATCCTAAACACTGATACTGCACAGCCTTTTGCCTCTGAAGCAGTTTTTATATGAAGTAGACACATACTGCCAGTGGCAAAATGTACTGTACAACCCTGTTGGTTGTAACAGTGAATAATAAGGAAAAATATATATGATAGAAATATATACAGAATATCAGTAATACATCTTAAAATTCTGGGTTGTTACATGTAAGCGGCCTGTGTTTGTAAAATCTGCATTTGAAAATTGATACAACAATGGCTTTAAGAAAATGCAGTGGCACTGTGTTAACTGTGGCTCGGTAGCTGTCGGTGTACCTGGTAGTGGAGATGCCAGCGCTCCCTCGTCTGCTCCTGAGCCTGAGTTGAGGAACACGTCGAGAGCCTCCTGGTCAGAGATGTCCATCAGGTCCATCTGCTCCAGGACGTCCACGTTCACCTCCATAGAAGAGATGCTTCCCATTGGGGCTACATATACAACAGAACAGCATTCATAACATCACACTGTTTATGCCAAAAGTGAAACATCATTTGTATATTGACACTATGTCTGTGTACAGTACATCATGGGGCATATCTATCACAAGTTTTTCTAAAGGGAATTTTCAATCTCTACAGCACACAACACCCTCTTTCCTTAGAACCTCAATTCTGATGCTGGAAAACACTCCCTACCCCCAAAAAACATTTAACTAGGATTAAAACGACAGAAGGCAAGAATAGACAGTTACTCACGTTTCCTGCAGTCAATCTGCAGGTGAGCAGAGGGCAGGTAGTTGTCCACGTCATGCTGGTAGACCTCTTCAAAAAAGCGCTGTCTGTCCCTCAGCTTCAGGTGCTGGGCTGATTCATTGTCCAACACCCTCTGTGAGTTGTCTGTCTCCGCTGACCACACATACAAAAAACACATAAAAAAACATTCACTTCAACAGTCTTTTAAAGTAGTATTGTGTCTTAAAATTCAATATTTATTGATAATGCAATGCAAAAGAATTTGCTTTCTCTTGATAGCTTATTTAGAGTGATCTGTCTTATCATGCCTTATGTTTTCGTTTAAGAAAACATCTCCACGTCTCAACTGTCTACTGTCAATCCATAAAATATGAAATGCTGTGAGCTTGAAAGGGTATTTGAGGTATCTACTGAATTCCGGTAAGACAAAGTACATGGCAATCATTTGTACTTCATGCCAGCGTCTAACAGTAACCTAACAAATACCTATAAAGGCAATAGGTTTCATTTCCTGCATCAGTTCTCTGGAAATGTTTGATAGAAGTCCCTTTAAAGCCCCACAGGTTGCTGCAGGCTTTTACCGTTGTGTTGCCAAACCTCAGTTGAAGCTCCTGAAGTGCCATATGCTCATCCAAAGCAAACATAACACCTGAAAAACACAGCCAACTAAACATTTATCAGTTGTTTGATGTTGTCAGATATTTTTCCATACAAAAAACAGACTCCCTGTTATTTTTATCATATTTAGTACTAATATACATTAAGTAAATACCAATCAATGTGGTATTGAAACTGACTTCACGCAATATATTTTGACAACAAATGAAGATTTGTACTAATTGCATTGCATTAGCTATGTGATCATTTGCTTGAATATCCGCTGCAACTATTTTTTGAAGTAATGATTCGGGCTATGACGGCCCTCTGGCTCTGTCATTGCCTGGGCTGCTGCTTGTGTTTTATGTCTCCCTTCAGATCCTGGTGGGCAGAGTTTGTATTAGTGAATCTGGATGCACCTGGCCAATCCATCCAGAAGCATCAGCTGTCCCCATTCCCTCGCTCTCTCATTTAGTTTATGTTTTCTGTCGCTATTTCTGTACATAAATATGATTGTTTTTCAAAGCATTTCTTTTCTTTTGTCATGGCCTAAAAACTGGTTGGTGATAGTGGCACACCTTTAAAAAAAACATTTATACAAACCACAAATCTGGACGCTTATGTGTTGTAAACCTGCTCCCAGTTGGACTTTTTAACATTGCAGTGAGTAATGTAAATTGGTACCAATATGCAAATATCTAATAATTTGCATAAATGCGCTGGCATCTTTGGTTCCTGCATGTTTTGACATGCCTCATTGTTTGAGCTTCAGTTACTCCTCCCTTGGTTTTTGCAGAGATCCCTTAGGTAGCAATGTGTGATACTACGCAGATATGTTGTTATTTCAGTGCGTGACAATACAGACATGTTATGAAAAACAAGAGAGCATCTGTCCTTAGGTCTACTTCCAGCGTTGACCTCTGCCAGGCCAACCAGCTGTAGTTGTGTAACTGTGCTACATCCTCCTCGGCACACATTGTGCCTTCGCCCACTGGGCTCCATGAGCTGACACTTTGATTCATGTCACCAGTGTTTTAATGTTTGAGAATGCGTGTGTGCCCATGTTCCCATAAACTGTACAATTGTGCGCTTTTGCATTCATGCTCTTGTGTGTGCATATATGTGTATGCATGCTATTTAGTTTATGCTCATTGGTCACCCAGTGTGTGTTATGTGTAGCAAACTTCCATGACTAACATGTTTACATGATGCCAGCAGATGGATCCAGGATGCACAGTAACAACATTCACTTCGCTTCATCTACAGACCTTTGAGTACTACTTTTCTCTTGTTTGAAAACAAACACATCTGTGTCACCCAGCCTCCTCAAACAGTCCCATCTCTAGAGACCCAGCAAGTCAATCTGTCAGTCACTCTTCCACAGCCCTGGAGGGCTGAGTGTCCACTCTCGTGCACTAACGACTGCCATTTATTCTGTCATTCAAGCTGTCTGTGGAGGCAGGAATCCAGTTCACAGTCTCTCTCACTGATATTTTAAAAGTAAGTGAAGTAACTAGGAATACAGTCAATTGCATACAGCTTACAGTGTTGTTAAATATAAACTTGTGCCCAGACTGTAAATAATGTCAGTGTCACTAATATATCTGTCTAGATAAACTTGATATACTGAGATGTTTATTTCATTGCTGTGGGTACAGTACATGCCAATGGGTATTCGTGACATTAGATCACCAAACTGTTAGCTACATTTGGGAAGTTTCTGTGTCTAATATTTACCAGTTGCGACAGCGTGGCTGGTGCTGTTTTCGCCTTGGAGGTCTGTGTGTGTGTGTATCATTATGGCAAAATATGGTCCTCAAGACACCTACTATAGCAGGAACTACCACAGAAGCGGTTTTGAGTACTTTTCCTGGTGTGTATGTTTGTCAGACTTCGACAACACAATAATGTTACAACCATAAAAGATGCAGTAACGCAAACAGGTGCATCTTTTATGGTTGTAAAGATGGGTGTGGTGCACTCATGTACTAATGTAATAATGATTAAGTACTCATGGGTGGTGTCCCATCACATGATGTTCTCTAGTTAAAGTTCTAATTAATATGCAACTACAGTTCTGGAGAGAAGCCAGAAGCCAGCTTTGATTAAAATAATTTCATTTTTGCTTGACAAATGAACATAACAGAAACTAAAAGAAAAACAATACATTAATGTTGCCAATTAGAGGACCAATGAGTAAGATTAAGTGGCATCTAGTGGTGAAATTGCAGGTTGCAACTAACTAAACACTGACGGTGTCTGTATTTAACGACCCGGGAAAGCGAACAGGATGTGAAGTGTGCAGGAAAAACTACGGTGGCCACCAAACTCATGTAAAACACGAAAGGTCCAGTCCTTCCAGAAAAATGCTGAGTTTTTTCGTGATTGTTGCAGGCAAAAATCCTTGATTATGCAGCACGTTTTCTTAAAAAATGCGATGGAATATGTGGGATATTTATGCAATTTTAGTTCTGTAGCTTTACAAAAGGAATATGCTACAACTTCTGTAAAAATGAACAAATAAAATATAAAAAAATAAAATGTGTGCTTCCTGTTTTACAGAGGTAGCTATACAAAACAGACATATTCTGTTAAAATTAGTGCTTCCAATACACAAAGTGAAATCTCTTACTGTAACGTAAATTTACATACTACTAATATACTTACAACTGTAAGGTTTTCATCGCTGGGTTTGCAGCTTTTCGATGATGTTCACGTCGCGTAATTACATCACTTCCTAACGTTCCTATGGCAACAGGGGAAAATGGCTGCTCTTGAGTGAAGTAAACGCAACATTTTTCAACTTTCTGCTAAGATATATGTGACTTTTTTGCAACGAAAATTCATGGATAATGAAATCATGCAAGCCCCGCATATTTTGCGCGGAAATCGGCAATTTATGCAGCGAAAGTGCAGCGTATTTGAAAAAATGCGCCCCCCGCATAAATATAAATATGTGGCTGATTATGCATTGAATTATGCGATCGCATAATCGCATTTTTCTGGAGGGACCAAAGGCCCTATCTACAGCCAATGTTTGGTTTGTCCGTTCTGGGCTGCTGTACAAACATGGCAGTTAACTATAGCTGACTCCAAGGAAGGTGACCCTCAGTAGATAAAAACAGCTCATTCTAAGGTAACAAAGACACAGTGATTCCTATATTGTTTATACCTGAAATGAAATAAAACTTGAAATGGTTGAAAACATACGTATGAATATTATATTCCATTTCTGCCAATAGATCCTCCTAAATGTTATACACTGGACCATACATTTTCTTGTTAACTGTTGCAGCTGTAGGTAACTGTTGCAGCTGTAGTTAAAAAAAACAAAACAAAAAAAAAGAGTACTAGATCCACCACTGACTCATACCCAAGAAATGTGAACACACCACCACCTAAACCCACCAGATCAGTCCAGTAAGACAGCGCACGTCAAGAAGAACAGTGTGACTGAGTTCCTCGTGACCATTTTCTTGCACGATATTTGGCCTTCCAGGTCAAGGTTTTATCATCTAATTTTTTAAAGAGACCAATGGCCTCAACATGCCAACCTGCCAAAACCCCCTGCCACCTCATTGCCACATGCCAGTGTCCATGATCATCCAGAAGTCATTATTCAGCAGCAGTGGGAAGGTTGAGATAAATAAACCAGATATTATAGGCTGTTACAGCAATGGCCAGGCTTCTGGTCATGATGATGAAACTACACATCTTACGTAAACTTCAGTTTTGCCTGCTGGCCTTATGGGAGCTCTCTCTCTCTCTCTCTCTCTCTCTCTCTCTCTCTCTCTGAGTATGTCTGTCTTCCTCTCTCTCTCTTTGTCTCTTTCTCTTAAAATCAAATGTCATTGCTCTGCTTAAGTTGAGATAGCCAGTGGACATGCTCAGCCCACGCACAGACTCGGCTGCACGTCTCCATCTGTCTGCCGCTACGTGGGAGAAATACATGTATGTAAAAGACTGACTCATCCAAATAACCTCTGAGTTTTCTTCCCCCTGCTGTGGAAGATGTGTAGGAGGTCTCCATGCAAATTGGCTGAGGTTACATTACTACCATGCTCTGTGTGAGACCCAGATGGTGTTCATAGCCTCCAACGGGGGAATCCCTTGTTGTTAACAGGGGTTATTAACTGCCAACCATCCTTATTGGGTTGTTTGGCTTATCAAGTAAAGTAATTTTTCCACTTTCAATCTTGAGTCCTATGTTATTTTCTGTTATCTTGTATGTAAGTTTAAGTGTCTCCGAGGCTGTCCAAAGGAACGCAAGGAAAGGAGTAGTTGTTGCATAATGAATAACGGCAAGTACGAGCACTGACAATGGGTGACAGTGACATTCAAGACAAATTTACGCAATGGTATGTGAGCACAAAGACTAATTAAACTGTCCTGGGGTTAGACGCTGCAACCCATTCAGTTTTTAGTCTGTTTTACACTTACAATATCTAGGCTGCAAAATACAAATCACATAGAAAGTGTTTACCGTAGGTGGGTCAAGGAAACAGGGAACAGCCATGCTGGCTGACTTTTGCTTTGTTAGGTAAAGTGCCAGTTTTCAAATCTGCTGGTTCATCACTGATTTACCAGATGTACTTTATGTCTATGATTGCTGACACTGCACTAAAACACATGATGGCTTCGTTAGAACCACTAGTGGACAGGAAAAAAACAATACTATTTGAAAAGAAAGCCAGAATAATTAATAATTCAGTATGACTGCTATGCACAAAAAAATGGTTCTGGCAGTGTCTTACATCTCACACTCAATTCTGCTGATGATGGGACACAGTAGCATTGTTGGTGCCATTACAAATGCATAACAGGATCCAGGAATTAGAATTCAGTTCAGGGACCAGGAACACCACTCCTTTCATAGGTGGAGCCTATGAAGACTGAAGGCTCCTGCACTGAACCTGCACCTCCTTGCCAAATAAGATTAGGATGTTTTACCGTAGCATTTTGCAAGTTCCCACCCTTATAGTGCAGTAACATCAGAACCAACGTTTGAGAATAGTCACTCCATCTCCCATTTATTTCAGTTGAAGCCAGGGTGATTTAGGAATTCAAGATTGCGTTTTCTTGAGTTAGTTGACCTTTGTTCAACTTTGGCTGTGAAAATTTGGCCAATAGAAACATGTTAAATTATTAAGTAAGTCATTATCCTACAGTAACAGTGCTTCAATAAAGAGCAGCTTGTTCTTATGCAGTGTTTATAGTCTATGAACGTTCTCAATATTTACCCATGTCAAACCAGTGCATTTGGCCTTTGGAAACAATGCTAGGTTGCTACTGCTTCTAAACTAGCTAGCTAGACATGCTAATATTTGGAGCTTACGTTGCACACACACACACACACACACACAGTTTTATTTATTTATTTATTTTTAGCTTGTGCCTGCCGTGCCTGGTTACAGTTGCTAGGCTATGATTAAAGATGAAATTAAGACGTAAAAAATAAGATGCAATGTGCTCAAATCCCAATTAGACCTTAGAAACCCAGTTCTGGATCCTTAATGTAGTTAACCATAAAACAAATGACAGCCATGGGTATATTGTCATCTCTGTCATCACATAGACAATTGTTGTTGGCCACTAACAGAGCCTTACAGTATTTAAAGAGCTGCCCTCTGACACATTCCATGACATGTGATCTGTGACAAGACCTATGCCCCTTACCCAGAAATCCCTGCTCCATTCAGCCCACACTGAACCATAATTACCTAGGGCTTACTGTTACATAACACTGGTACAATCCTTCAACTGCACACCCTTCAACACTGGACTCCTACTGCATTGTAATGCATGGCTTCACAGCTTACTGCCTTGGTTGTGAGTACATGCATGTAGGATGTATGTGTTGGCTGACTTCCTGTGGGAAAGGAAGAAAGAAAGGAAGAAAGAAAGAAAGAAAGAAAGACAGAAAGAAGTTTGTCAAAGAAAGGCGAATGTGGTGTTATGCAACCTGAGCCTGCTGTGCATTATTCCTGGTATAAAGTAACTGTAGTGTCAGTGATTTGAGGCAAAGGCCTTCAGTGAGTCTGCTTGCCTCAGCTAAGCCTCATACTGACTAATACAAGGGTGCATTTTTGTGCATTTGTTGTGTGTCAAGGCAAACACACATTGAATAGAAATAATGTGTTTAATACCCTTTTTTCTTGTTTCTTTATCCTCTTTGTAATCCAATTGTTTTTTGCAATAATACTGATTCTTTCACTCTTTTTTCACTCCTGTATGGCTGTTGATTAGATCATCAGCACTTCTTTATGTGTAGGAATCCAACAGAAGATGTAGAGGTAGTGAATGTGTGTGTGTGTGTGTGTGTGTGTGTGTGTGTGTGTGTGTGTGTGTGTGTGTGTGTGTGTGTGTGTGTGTGTGTGTCAGTTTCAGAGGGGGTGGGGGTGGGTGGTCCAGGGCCAGAGGTGACAGTTGAGCTGAAGCACATGATTTTTTTCTGCCAGAGTCTGATCCTTTTGCCACTTCCAGCTCCCGATAATCCACACTGCGAGTCTGAATATTCCTATTCAAATATCAGTCTCTCAGGTTGTTTTATTTTGCCTCAGCATGCAGTGTACAGTTGTTTCTTTCTATCAGCATCTTTTTTATGATGAAAACATTAAACTCTGAATACATGCGTCATTACCGCTCTGTGTCATTTTAATGGTGCAGTCATACATCAAGGGTCTTGGAAACTGCACTGGAAGAAGGGAACAAATGTTCCCATTGAACCAAAGAGTCACATGGTGAAGCATTCAATCCCCTTGTGGCAAGCGGAAAAAGAAATCCCATGATCATCTTTCTGTTTTCGATGAACACAGAGGCTGGGTGTTTGTGTGTGAAAGAGAGAGCTAGTAAGGTACTGCATGGCCAGTCACATTTGACAGCCCATCTATCTCAAACTCCACCCCTCCTCTCCTGCAGTTCCAAATTACCCCCGGGAGCCGATGATGGTGTCACCCAGCTCTCAGCAGTTTAGAACCACATCATCTTTAGGTATTACTGCTATTATTTACCGAACCAATCACTCTCCTCTGCTGGCCTCGTAGCCACAGCAGACCATCATGCATAAATCATTTATGAGTGAGATCACTGCAACACAACAGACACCTCCCCCGCCATGCTTCCCGACTCCCCTCTACACCCACACACACATCCATAAACATACAGCCATGTAGTAGAAAGTAACCCCAGGGTGCTCATTTATGATACCAATGTCTCACCATCATCATTGTCAAACTACGTCATACTGGAGGAAGCCCTACCTGAAGCCTCAAGCACATCATTTAAATGAAGTCTACATCCGTTTCATGACTTCACTATCATTTTCACGGTATGATCACAATGTTGTGATTATAGCCTGAACCTTGTCTGACCAACTCCGTAAGTGTCTGATCAGATAATGTATTCCCAGGGCATTCCCATTCTTAAAACCATCAAGGCTCTTCACTCAGGGCTAAATGCAAAGATGTCCTCCAGCTTTGTCCACGACTTCCTATTTAGGTAAATCAAAAAAGGGCTTTCGGTAGCCTACACAGAGCTTATACATATGTAGTGCTCTGTCTTTAGTCTGTACACATTAACAAACACTCATATGTCCCACACAGAAACTAATTCAGTAAAGCAGCAAGTTGTATGGGAAGCAGCTTATTGCCTTGACACTTAAACATAAAAAAACAGCTCATGTGAGTTTATTTGTTCACTTAGAAAGCAAGACAATGTCCCTCTGGCAAGCAGGTAGCAGTTAGCATGTCTTTTCGTATTCTATATAAAGACCTTCATCCTTTGGCTTAGTCAGAGTATAAGAGGTAGTTGTTATCTCTTCACTGTGATTAAACCTCATCTGCATCAACAGTGCTGCACCACCATCAAGCCTGTCAGGCTAACTTAGTTAAAAAGGGATGGCCTGCGGCTGTTATTATTACTTTGGACAAGTTTTTTTTTCCAGTAGTTGCTAATGAGGCTTTGTTCAAGGTGCATCAATAAGTAAAAGAATAAACTAAACATGTACAGTTAAGTTTTTTTTAGTGAGCAATAATTTAATGAATCCCAGAGAAAATGATGTAACGGGCTTGCAGTAATTCCCATACACACTGTATGTAACATAAAGTACAGCTAATATGGATCTGTTATCTAAAGAGCTGACTAATGCAGAATTAAACATCTCTCATGAAGGAATGTTCTGTTGTGAGGCTCTGAATGATGAGTCGTGATTCATATAAAGCTGAACCAGTAAAGGGAATTAATACCCTCTGCACTGTAAAACTTTCCCTTGCCTGGGATATGCAAAAATATCCTGAGAGACTGTGCTGTGGAAATTTATGTAGTAAATTCATGCTTAGAATGTAAAAACGAGCACTGTTAAGTTACATCAGTGCAGAGTAAATTGTAATACAGCACATACTGTTACAATATATTGGACAGTACTACAAGTCTGCTAGTGCCACTTTCTCTTCAGCTACATTTCTCTTAACTCATACACTGTTGGTTACTTACATGCCAGACGCTTGTTATGGTTGGCTGACCCAGTAGACGACATGATCCAGAGGATGTGGGACTGCTTGAAGAGAGTGTTTTGCCTTTGAGTGTGTGTGGATTTTTCTTGTCCCCTCCTGTCAAGGCTCCAGGACAGGATGCTGGTGCGTGTAGTGGTTGGTCATCTAGTCATTGCATCTCTTGACTTTGGCACCAGGACTATCAAAGATAGTACATTCACATTACACTTTATATCCCTCCCCTCTTCTCTTCTCTTTCTTCTACTCTGCTCTGCCTTTTTGCTGTGTACGCCGTCTCCCTCCCCCCTTTCTGATCGCCTTTGCTGTTCTTTCAAGGTTTTCCCTCTCACTGCTTCACACTCTCATCTCGGCTGCCTCTCTGTGTCTCTCACACAGCACGTGCGCACACACACACACAAACACACTCATTCTCTTGCTCTCTCTGCTAGACAGGCTCAAAAGGGTTGTAAGGAGCTGTGCAGCTTAGGGACGGGGGGAGAGTGATAGTGGGCTACGGCATTGTGGCCTGTACCAACTGGTGACAGCGAGGGGGTCAACAGGATCAGGAGGAGTATGAGCCTCTCCCATCTCAACCATCACTGATTTACCTTATATTTTTTATTTATTCACTTTGTTGTAGGATGAAGCTTTAGAAATGATCTATGAAAAGAGAAGAGGTGTTGCATATGAATAAATCACCACAATTTCTCTCAGCATAATTGGAAATGAAAATTTGAAATTTACATGATCACTGCACTGTTTTGTGTCATATTATATTAATTGATTATCTACATTTGTTTATGTATTAATTATAATTCTATTTCTGCATTTATCTATCTTTAACTGTACCCATTTCTAATAAGATTAAAATAATGAAGGTTTTAAACGGTACAGCAAATTTCCTTATAAAATAGTATTCTAGGAATTTAGTATTGCTCTTCCATAACTCTCTAGAGACAGTTTAAAACAAGACTAAGAAACCACGTACAGCCACGCTAGTGAGGCTGTACTTAGGTACAGTGGTGCTTTGATCTTATGCTAACACCATCATACTCATATGCTCACAGTGGCAGTTGTAACGTGAAAATGCAGGTATAATGTTTACATTCTCAGTTTAGCCTGTTAGCATGCTAGCATTGCTAATTACCACCAAATACAAAGGACAGCTGAGACTGGTGGAAATTTAATTTGTTTTGCAGGTTTTTGGTCATAAACCAAAGTATTGGACCAATACATGTTTTGCCCTGATGATGGCACCAGAGTAAAAGTTAAGAATTAGAATTTATCCTCTGGGGACCTTGAAGATCTGTAGCAAATTTTACAGCAATCTATCCAATACTCAAGATACTTAACTCAAAACCAATATTGTTAACCTTATGGTGGCGCTAGAGGAAAGGTCAGTGGATCACCAAAGTCAGTAGGATTCATCCTGAGGGGGACATGAATTCCTGTGCTAATCCATTCACCTGACATTTCACTCTGGATCAAAGTGTAGTGGTGGACGGACTGACCAACATTGTCAACCATGCGGCTAGCCGCACTAAAAACGGGTCCTACACGTCCCATAATTCAACCTGACAGTATCTTTACATTACACCATTACTGTCTGGAAAATGTACACTACTTTAAAGCTCTATTCCTTCAGCCTGTAACGCAGGCTTCCTTTTAAAGGTCCAGTGTGTAACATGTAGTTAGATCTCTTGGCAGAAATGTAATACAATATTCATGTAGGTATATTTATATTTATGTATGTATATTATTCATGTACATATGTATGTTTTCATAAGTGTATTATCCCCTGAATATGGGAATCATTGTGTTTTCGTTACCTTAGATTGAGACGTTTTATCCAGATGCCTTCCATGGAGTCTGCCTTGTTAAACTGCCATGTTTCTACAGTAGCCCAGAATGGACAAACAAAACACTGGCTATTGACACAACCTTTCACAAGACATTATATACTTTTGACAGGCTCACTGTCCTGAACATGATGATAAACTGACATATATAAATATATATAATCATTGAGGTTCCCCTTTAACTGTTTACAAATCACATATTATTTATAAAGGAATTAATAATTAGCCATTCATATCTTTTGAGATCCCAAATCAATCTGGCTGGTGTAAATCCTCCTCGAGCATTGCTTTGTCTTTTAGCTAGCACTTAAAGTAATTAGGAGGGCCTGTCAAAGGGACAGTTTGACCACTTACCTTCTGGGAAAGAGCAGCAGAGCATCTGCACCACTTATTAACATTTACATCTGCAGACTTGACAGCTAATTAAAAGGTGAGAAACCCATTGCCCTTTATTAATGACTTGATAACATTTGATGGCCTATTAGAAAGTACAGCATTAATTATGAATTAATAGCAGCAGAAGGTTCCTCTGTCCCTGATATTGAGTAAGTTTGCAAAGATTTGCGGTTGCATATCATTTGGAAAATGCAATAAAATAGAATTACGTAAATTCTTTGCAAATCAAACTTTTTGTGGCCCTTCTTAAAGAGGTTTCTTAATGCAAGCGTGAACAACAGCTTATGCATGTACTAACATGTAATTAAGCACTCGCACGCACAAACACACTATTAAAAACACACATACCCACAAATACACGCACTACTGCAAAACTTCACACTGTAACTGTCACACAAGGGGGGTTAATAGGCACTTAGCATCATTGATTCCTGCAGGTCCTGACTCTCCCTTCCCTAATAAGAGGCTTCTAACAGCCAATTACATCACACTTCAGCTGGAAGAGGCTGCTGCAGGCAAACCACTAATGTCATGGAAAACTCATTGCAGACTACGTAAGGAAATAGAGAAGTATAATATGATATGATTAATGGCCTGTTCAGCTTCCATTCTGATGCTGGTCAACTATGAACTCTGAGATGATTAATAACAGTTTCACAGGCAATCCATTTAGACATCTGATCACACCCATGTTTAGAACTGGGAGCACCACAAGTTGGCCATATCCTTTTATAGTCTTGACAATGACTCATATCACTATTGACATTTTTCAGTGATGTGAAGGGAGATTTACTGCAGACGCCGCATCCACCGTAGAGTACAATGAGTACATTATTTTAACCTCATTGGTGAGTCAATATTGGCATCTGCTGGTGAAGACTGTGTATTACATTTTAGCTCACACTAAGGGAGCACCTGCTGTGTTCTGAACTATACAAGCACAATGATTTCTTTCACTTTTCACCACTTTTTTGCAACACAAAAATGACCTTGCCACTTCCATAAGTGAAATTCCCTCAAAGAATACTGTACTACGTGTCAATATCAGAAAACTCATAGATTTTTAAGATTTGTTGTTTGACCAGCAACAGATAAAGTCTGTTCTTTTGATTAGACGTTTTCTTTAGGAAAGAAAACACAATCATAGTCACATGTAAAAATTGAATTTCAGGTTTCAGATGCTCCCAGGTTTAATTCATTCAGGTGAACAAAAGGGGATTTCCAGTGACTGTTGCACAGTGTTATTGTGTGCGTGTGTGTGCACGTGTGTATGCATGCGTGTGTGTGCGTGTGTGTGTGTGTTGTGCCTGTTGCTCTTTCAGCTCTATCAGTGCTGGCTTCCTCTTTGAAACTGTGTTGTCTCAATTTTCTGCAGCAAAGTCTCTGATGTGGCTTGTGAGTCATACTGTGGTAAATATACACATTTGCGCATGCACATATGCATGCACACACACATAAAGACATAGTCACAGACACATGTATTCACATTCACACACACTCTATTAATGGTCACTATAGTTAGTGTTCCTTTTGCCTTCACGCTACGTTTTGGTTGAGCAACACACAGTAAGCCTGCTGACACAAGCTGCTGGATTTTTTTTTTTTTTTTTCGGGTGAACAACACACAGCTAAACCTCAGCAACAGACACAAAAAAAAAGTTCACATCTTCACTTCACATCTTCACAGCCGTACCAGACAGTAAAGTCAAAGCCCTCAAACTTTATTAAAAATATCACATTGTGCTGTATGGGGATATTCTGGGGGTCACCATGGCAACAGACATCCAAGTGGCAAATGCACGAACGTGCACACCTGCCTGCCAGTGTTCCAACTTGTGCCTCTGAACCTCCCTGTTAGACAGTATCTAGGTGCTGTTTGCTAAATGTGGCAGGACGGAGGGGCGACAGTAGCAATGCCTTTGTTCTCAGAGAGAGGAGCACACAGCTCTGTCAAGGTGTTAATTAGCCATTGTGAGACAAGAAAGTTGTTAGGATTGTGCTTGCTTCAGCTGTGAGATGCACAACCTTTTGTGTGAAATAGAGCTTTGTCTTCCCAGACTTTGTAAAGAATGCAACATAGTGAGTGACAGCATCTTTGAAATCAGCAATGCTTCATAAATACAACTGCCACATTTAATACTATCTGGGACAATACAGTATCTCTACCTGTTAGGCCATTAAAAAACTTTCCGACAGCACCAAGCTTAGTATAATCTGGCATGTCTCAGTTGTGTTGTTCTGTCTTCCTGCTGCTCTGGATATGTATATATTGCAATCTGTAGTTCACTCAGTAAAGTCTCAAATTTGGAATAAGCTCTGCTTTTTGATTGTGTTATACGTCTCTGCGGATGAGCTGTGAAAGTGCGCACTTGGAAGGATCAGTTTTTGGTTAACATGATGGTTTGTGATGTCAGCCTTGCAAGTGTGTGCAGTGTTTTTCAGTGTCTAAATGAGATCTAGTGACTCATGTGGAGAAAACAGGCTGCTTGGACTGGGTGACTGACAGTATCGGTTTGACTCGGCATACTGAGCCTTGCCACTGATATACAGCAGTGAACTTAGTCTTTTCTTGTGGATATTAGTCATTGTCAGATTAAAAAGCAAACCACACATTAAAATGGTTTGGGTGACCTGCAAATATAAAGGACAACTATGTATGGTGTTTCCTGCCTGTAAAAATGTCATAACGTGTGTATGATATTATGTGTTTTGTAAGTCAACACAACAAAACCCACAGCATGGTCCATTGTTGGATGGCGTTTCTATTATACATATGTAACAAAACAGTGTTTAATGCTGAATGCTATCATAAAGTTATGTCCTGAGAATAGTTTAATCTATCAGTTACTTGTAAAAGGATTTGTTGGCTGGTACTATAATACCGATAAAGGTGCCAATATGTCACACGTTTAAATTGCTCCATTATTTATGTCTCAGATTGTCTGCCTGGGGATTGTGTGTATAATAGTTCATCTTTAGAAATAATATAGCATTTGGATATTTCTGTGTGTATGCGCATGTGTGTATGTGTGTGTGTGTGTGTGTGTGTGTGTGTGTGTGTGTGAATATATGCATGAATATGTGAGTCACGCACCACTATCCAGCCCCCTGGGCTTTGAGTTCTGATGCCCATCTTTCAGCTCCTCTACTGCACACTGAACCCAGTGAACCTTCTGCTGTTTACACTCTCCCCCTCCTCCTGCTCGCTCTGTCTCTATTTATCTCTCTCACACACTCTCATGCTCGTC